AAGTGGACTTCCTGTACTCTGAAGTACATCTCAAACCAGATGAGAAATAAGACTCGGCTGATTCAGTATGTTCCGTCATCGTAGGTAGTGTTTAAATTTTGCCCAGATATACACACGGGGCCTGTGCCTAGTATTCTGAAAACAAAACACAGCCCTGCAAGTGGTAAAGATTCTTATATTTCCAAAATTAATTTCTAAATACTCTTAAGCCCCTCAAGTATTGATCCAGTTTTTCCCATAGCAAAAAGCTTTATCTTGGGTTTCCGGAAGGCTTCTCCTACCCGACACAGCTTTCTTTGTTGTTTCAGCTGATTGCACATCCGGTCATCTTGTTGTTCCTGCTGTATCTCTGTTGAAGCAGCCTTGCCAGAAAGTCGACTGCCAAGTCCTCCCTTTCTCTTCTGAGCGCCTAACACATTTTGCCCAAACGGTTGGGTAAATAGACCAGCCCTCTCTCAGAGTCATGGCAGAAGAGCCTCCGGTTATCTCACTTTAGACATAACAGAAGCAAAGTCCCAGGCTCTTAAACATTGTAGCCCTTGTGTTTACTTTCTTGAGAAATGAAGGAGCCCTATATAAGGAACAGTCAGAATTCCAACATGTATCTCTTGGAGTCTCCCTCTTTTCTAAAGGGTGATCTGGCAACAGTGTCAGTTGCTCTTAAACTGTTAGCAGGACATTTGCTCTGTGATCTCTGAGCAGTACCCTTCAGTTTGTTCCGAGATGGGAAGTGGACACCCGCTTTCAGAGAGAATTTTTTTTTATTTATTTACTTTTTGCTTCTAAAAACCACTTTATTTTTTTTTTAATTTTTTTTTCATTTATTTTTATTAGTTGGAAGCTAATTANGTTTAGTTCTTTGGTCCAGTTTTTGATTGGGTCATTTATTTTTCTGGAATTGAGCTGCAGGAGTTGCTTGTATATTTTTGAGATTAATCCTTTGTCTGTTGCTTCGTTTGCTATTATTTTTTCCCAATCTGAGGGCTGTCTTTTCACCTTGCTTATATTTGATTGGCATCTTTAGAATGTGCTCTGTCCGCTGGGGGAGGAATCCAGCCCTGCCTTCTAGGTAGGTGTCCTCGTATTTCCTGTCTCCAGAGCCTGGAGCCTTAAACACCTGTCCTCATTTATTTTGTGTGCCTTTAGGAAAGTGATCAGAGAATATGGCGTATTTGCAGAGTAAATATAAATGTAAAAGGTATATTTCCCTACCTCTCCCTGGCAAATGTCAATTGGGTATGGATCAGAATCCATAGTTAATTCCTGAAACTACTGTTGGCTAATGGCATCTTTGTCTTTTTCTTTTCTCATTTATGCTGATAATGGTTTCTTATCATGTTGTACACAGTTCTTCCTTATCTACAACCCTGTCTTCTGGAACTTTGTAACCTTAGGCTTGGATATAGCCAGAAGAAACCTGAAACCTCCTTGGTAGCACAAAAGCAGGCCCAAAGCATTACACAAAAAAACTGAAGACCTAAAGGTACTGAGATTTGGAATTGAAAGAGACACATGTACCCCAGTGTTCATTGCAGCACTGTTTGTAATAGCTAGGGCATGGAAGCAACCTAGATGTCCATCGGCAGACGAATGGATAAGAAAGCTGTGGTACATATACACAGTGGAATGTTACTCAGCTATAAAAGAGAATGCATTTGAGTCAGTTCTAATGAGGTGGATGAAACTGGAGCCTATTATATAGAGTGAAGTCAGTCAGAAAGAGAAACACCAATACAGTATGTTAATGCATATATATGAAATTTAGAAAGACGATCATGACGACCCTACAGGCAAGACAGCAGAAGAGACACAGATGTAAAGAACAGACTTTTGGACTCTCTTTTCTCTTCTCTGGGAGAAGGCAAGGGTGGAATGATTTGAGAGAATAGCATTGAAACATGTATGTTACCATATGTGAAATCGATGAGCAGTACAAGTTTGATTCCTGAAGCGGGGCACTCAAAGGTGGTGCTCTGGGACGACCCAGAGGGATGGGGTGGAGAGGGAGGTGGGAGGGGTTTCAGGATGGGGGACACATGTACACCCGTGGCTGATTCATGTCGATGGATGGCGAAAACCACCACAAAAACCTCCAATTAAAATTAATATGTTAATTTAAAACAAACAAAAAATAAAGATACTGAGATTTGCCGTCTCAACACTTCTTCTATAAAGGGAGCTGTAAGTGGCTGGTGATGACTCCAAGAGGCCAGCCTTTTCATGTGACAGTGACTAGTATGAGAGAAGCAACAGGAGATGGAGGAACGCAGGCAGCGCTGGGGGTGGGGAGGGGGACATCGGTGGTGATCACAGACAGAACCGGGGGAACTGACATCCCAGGCAAGGGGAAAAAGCCAAGGGTGAGAGTGGTGTTAGGGAGTGGCAGGTGGAGGTTGCGGAAATGACGGAACGGTGAGGCAGACTGATGAGCAGGAGGTCCTAGAGCAGCAAAGAAGGCAACAGATGGGGAAACAACGTGGGTAGAAAACCTGAACTTCGATATAGGCGTGCTCAGATGGCTGCTTAAAAACGGGGTCAGTCATGAAGACCTTCATGTAATACCATGAAAACTGGAGGTAGACGTGGACGTTTGTTGAATGAGTGCATTTATGCATATACCATTTCCACCGTGGCTCTGGTGTGTGTGTGTGTTGGGGGGTGGTAGGGTGCACACGAAAACTGCAGGCAGTGTGTGCAAAGGTGAAGGCACACCCGGTCTGCCCTGGGCCTTACAGCTGATGGATTCTATGCAGGATAACCAAGGAACAGCGAGGCTGACTTGCGGTCAGCTGCCACCACAGCCGAACAGGGACTCTCTGGTCAGGTACCTGGTATGAGCACCTAGTAAGGGGCAGCACAGGGCGGTATACCAGTCCACAGGCAGACTGTCCTGGCTGAGCCGAGGGACCTGTGCAAACCAGCCTCTAGAAGGCACATCTGCTATTGACATAGGCAGGGGCGGAGGAGAGGCAAAATCAGAGGCTGGAAATTGTGCCCAGGGGGGTCTGCAGGAGTTCTTTGGTCCCCTGGGTCCCCAGAAGTGCCTGCATCCTGAGGTGCAGATATCTAACAGTTGCCAGCGGGTGCAGATGGGACGGCGGGGAAGGGCATGTAGCCAGCATTGACTCTGGATTGGGCTCTGTCATTATCGCCCAGCCATCCGCAGCTGGGGATGCTGGTGACCTGTTTACAGGCAAGGAAGGACACAGTATATTTTAGAAAGTTTTCCAATGCCTATTTAAAATTTTAAGGTCTAAAATGTCTTAAAACTCTCTGGCTAACTCCAGAATGACTCATTTCTGACATATTCCAAATGAGCATTGTATTTTGCATTTGGACAGTGTTTTCTACTTTACGAAGTGTATCTATAGACATTATTCCATGTGATTTTTTAAATAACATTTCTCTGAAATGAATAAGGTTTTTGTTTTTACATGTAAAGAGTTTGAGACAGAGAAAGATGAAGCAGACCGTCTAACGGCACCCAGTCGGCTGCTGGGGAAAGGGAGGGGGACCCAGGTTTCATGAGTTCCAGTTCTTGCCATGACAGTGTAGTGCAGCGTCATCGATCGCTTTTCCACGTGCTTGACTGTGACCGGAAAGAGTGAACCATGGAAATGGCCTGTGAAGAGCTCCAGACAGTCTCTTCCTTCGTGTTTCCATAGGACTGCCTCCTAACTCAGAGATTTATTCTTCATCCTCTACAGAAGCATTCCATGTGGGCAGTTTTGGTGTTTAGGCTCAGAGTAAAAGAAAATGAATGTGGGTTTGTTTTGGTTTTGCCTTTCCTTGACCAGTGGATCTGAAAACCCTCCAAGAGTGAAAGTGTTAGTCGCTCAGTCATATCCAGCTCTCTGCTACCCCATGGACTGTAGGTAGCCCCCCAGGCTCCTCTGTCCGTGGAATTCTCCAGGCAAGAGTACTGGAATGAGTTGCCACTTCCCTCTCCAAATGTGCCTCTTATTCCCCAGAGTTTAGTCCTGTTCCTCACAGTTCTGAGTATCACTGTGGACACATTTGTACCTCTTGCTTTTCCCAGTCAGTTACCAGAGTGAGATTCTGAGATATATGCAGTTAACTGGTGACAAAGAACAGAGAGAAGCTGTTTTTAAGAAATCAATTAAAAGATAACTTGGAAATCTTAAGGAGACATCTGAAGGAGTGAATCAGTAGAGTTGCAAAATCTTTCTTTAATTCTAGAACGAATAGTACATACAATTTATAAATAGGGATGGCTTCTAACAAACTGTTTTGCAAGGTCATTAACAGTCGCGGGCAAGAAAAAAATTAAAGAAGGGAATTTGTTCTAGTGTCTTGACAGTGACATTGGGTTGGCACCCCTGTTTTGCCCTGCAGCTGTGGACAGAGATCAGGCTTAGGTTGTTTCAGTTTGCAGGTTGGCCGGCGAGATGACTTTCGATTCTTGTTTCTGACTTGGATGGAGGCTCTGAGGATGACCTCATCCCATTACAATTCAGAGGAACTGTGCTGGTGAGAACAGGGCTGCTATTCCCTAGTGATAGTCCATTTTCACATCTCATTCATAATTGAAGGGAGGGAGGATCATTTTTTGCCCATTATAGGCAGTGGTTACATCAGATCTCCAGGGGCATACCAAAGGCCTCGTATTGTTGCAGCTTAACAACTGTAACCTAGTCTCCTGACAAGATCTGCCTTCCCTTGAAAAGTGCAGATTGCAGGAGGGAGAAAAGAGGATAGGGCTAAGTTCCCAACCCAGAAAAGTGAACGGGAGAAACGTTGCTGCCTTCCCACCCTAAAAGACTGTCACCAAAGTTTCTGGACTCACCTGATCAGATGTGACCACACACTATACTTACTCTTGGATTTCTGATACATCTTTCAAAGTCTTCTGTGTGACTTGCTCTGACAGAAAGTATTAGCAGACAGAGCTGGTGGCAGTACATAGGGATGGAGTGAGCCTGGTTTGAAAGTATCGTTTACATGCTGACGTTCATTATTACCACTTTATGTTTGTACAGGTGGTTCCAGAAAAGAAATCACTGAACACTGGGAATGGCTGGAGCAGAATCTGCTGCAGACACTTTCCATCTTTGAAAATGAGAACGATATCACCACATTTGTAAGAGGAAAAATACAGGTAGTGCTTTATTTATTTTATGTATTTATTTTTATTAACATATAATTAACTTGCCGCACTGTGTTAGTTCTAGATACACAACACAGTGATTCAGTATTTCTTAAGTTAGTGGAATTTAAGACAACAGCTTTTCACTGGGAAGAATTTTAAACTTACAGAAAAATTGCAAAAGTAAGAAGTGTGTAAAACATACCTGGAGATCCTTTACCCACATTCTTCTGTTATTAACAGTTGACCACATTTACTTTATCATTTGTGGGAGACATTGAAAAGCACCAGTAAGCTTAGAAAACATGGCAGCTTCCAAATTAAAAAAATATATATTCTTGAATAATGGAGAGCTTTGCTGATAAAACCAACCAGATTTGATAAATCTTCCTTTGGTTTGAGTCATGTGTCTGAATTTCTGGGAAGTAATATAAGTGGGGGAGTCTGAGGACTCCTAATTTGATCCTATAGGAGGGGCTGGGTGAAAGCGGGCAGCAGTTGGTGGGGAAACAGACGCAGGAGGGGTCTTCTCCTTCCAGGAACCACTGCTAAGGTTCTCAGTTACCTTTCTGTGTTGTTGTTCAGTCTTTCAGTTGTGTGCAACTCTTTGCGACTCCATGGACTGCAGCACGCCAGGCTTCCCTGTCCTTCACTATCCCCCAGAGTTTGCTCAAACTCATGTCCGTTGAGTCAATGATGCCATCCAACCATTTCATCCTCTGTCTTCTCCTTCTCCTCCTGCTCTTAATCTTTCCCAGGATCAGGATCTTTGAGTCAACTCTTTGCATCAGGTGGTCAAAGTATTGGAGTTTCAGCTTCAGCATCAGTCCTTCCAGGGAATATTTAGGATTGATTTCCTTTAGGATTGACTGATCTGATCTCCTTACAGTCCAAGGAACTCTCAAGAGTCTTCTCCAACACCACAGTTCAAAAGCATCAGTTCTTCGGCACTCAGTCTTCTTTATGGTCTAACTCGCAACATCCGTACATGACTACTGCAAAACCATAGATTTGATTGTGCAGACCTTTGTAGGCACAGTGACGTCTCTGCTTCTTAATATGCTGTCTAGATTTGTTATAGCTTTTCATTGTCCTTCCTTGAGTGTTATTATCTTTGGGAAATAGGCACAAATCAAAAGTGGTAGGAAGAACGTTAAGAGAAATAAATAAATAAAGCAGGAGCAAATTCTGAGTCAAATAACCATTCTTTTTACCATTTTCATTACATCAAAAATGTCAGATTTAATTCCCCTGAAACCAATTATGAGAAAGGAATTTCTATTAATGCAATTATGTGTGAAAATCACTCATGTGCAAATAGAAGGTTTAAGCACCCACAGATTGTCCAGTAATGAAGGGAACCAACACATTTATTTGTTTTGCAACCTAATTAACTTTTTTAAATTATAAATGTTATAATTAACTGCAGAGGTAATCATAATCCAAACACCATAGATAACTTTTGTTTTTTTCCTTTTAGATTTCTTGTATGTGTGTTTATCCTAATAGAAGTCTGACTATACATATAACTTTATATCATATCTTTTTTCCTCCGATATCTACTATATTGTTGTATAACTTTAGCTGTTATTATAATAACTGAATATTACTCCATAATTGACCTTACTATTCCTCCTTATATAAGTCTCCCTAGCTTTTAGACTAGTGGGAGTCAGGTACAAACAATAATACAGTGAATTCTGCTATTCATATGTAACTTTTCTTATAGTTTTTCTCCTTATCAGGATAGATTACAAAATGTTGGTTAATGGGTTAAATAAGTTTAAATGCTTTTAATGGACATTAATAGATATTGTCAGTATGTTAGAATCCCTGTGTGATTATACTGTTGCTTGCTTTCAGCATTATAATTGTTTAAGTAGTTTTTCAGATTTAGTAAGTAAAAGTTGGTGTCTTATTGTTTTCAGTTTTCTGTCTTTGATTATGAGTTTGAATATTTTTTCATGTTTGCTAAGTTAATGTTCCCCTTTTTATGAACTACCTGTCAGTGTGCTTTGTGTATTCAAATTTGTATTGGATGTCCTGAATATTTGGATTTTAGCAATTTTACAAAATTACGTGGAGCTGTTGCCTGGAACAGGGGTGACCTATTTCATATTATGTAGAACCTATAAAACATATATACCCTGGTGGGTCAGTGGTAAGGAGTACACCTGGCAATGCAGGAGATGCGGGTTCGATCCCAGGGTCGAGAAAGTCCCCTGGAGGAGGGCATGGCAAACCAGTCTAATATTCTTGTCGGGGAAATCCCATGGACAGAAGAGTCTGGCAGGCTATAGTCCATGGTGTCGCAAAAGAGTCAGACATGACTGAGCAACTAACCAGCAAGAACAACATAGAACTTACAGGAAGGACATCATTCCATCCCTTTGTTCCATCATCAGGTCCACCTGGCTAAAGTTACAGTAATCTGAAGAGATTCTGCATTGTGAACCCTCTTTTTTTTTTCTTGAAGTTGGGAAAGTTAAAAGTGGAACTTTAGGGATTATCATCCTTCTTGTTGAAACTAGTTAGTGAGGCCTGGTCTGTTGATATTCATGTGTTTTAGTGATGTTTTTCACCTCTTTGTCCTTATAAATCCTCTCATATTTAAAGGATTTTTTCTTTTTAAAATTTCAATGAGCATTCTAGATATGTAGTACTTATTAGTTCTTTAGATATTATGAAAATGTGAAAATGTTAGTCTCTCACTCATGTCAGACTCTTTGTGACCCCATGGACTGTAGCTTGCAAGGCTCCTCTGTCCATGGAATTCTCCAGGCAAGAACACTGGAGTTGGTAGCCATTCCCTCCTCCAAGGAATCTTCCCAACCCCAGGGATCGAATCCAGGTCTGCCGCGTTGCAGGCAGGTTCCTTACTGCCTGAGTCACCAGGGAAGCCCCTTAGATAGTGTAGTTTGAATTCATCTTCTTCCTCTCTAAACATACGGGTGTCACTTGGTTTGTTCTACATTGCTCTTTTCTAGTATTCTTCTGGCTTCAGGTCAGAGCCTTGCTACAGGGGAGTGGACATTAGGCTTGAGGGTCTCCATGCTCATGGATGATTGGCCATTGGCGTTGCCTAAGGACCCAACCGCAACTGCATATTAGTTCTCATTCTGTCCCTTTCATCTGTTCACTCATTCATTTCCTTTTTCATTCTTACATATTTTTGGCTCCCCTTCTGTGAAGGCATTGATAACTTTGAAGTGTCATATAGGTCCAATTTCTACATCTGTGTCTCCATTCCTGCCCTGCAAATAGGTCCATCTGTCCCATTTTTCTAGATTCCATGTGCTATGCTGTGCTTAGTTGCCCGGTTGTGTCTGACTCTTTGCAACCTCATTAGCCTGCCAGGTTCCTCTGTCTATTCTCCAGGCAAGAATACTGGAGTGAATTGCCATGCCCTCCTCCAGGGGATCTTCTCAACCCAGGGATCTAACCCAGGTCTCCCGCATTGCAGACACATTCTTTACTGTCTGAGCCACCAGCGAAACCCAAGAATACTGGAGTGGGCAGCCTGTCCCTTCTCCGGGGGATCTTCCTGACCCAGAAATCAGACTGGTGTTCCCTGCATTGCTGGCGGATTCCTCACCAGCTGAGCTACCAGGGAAGTCCCTAGATTCTGTATATATGCCTTAATATACGATATTCACTTTTCCCCTTCTAACTTACTTCACTCTGTATAACAGACTCTAGATTCATCCACATCATGGCAAATGACCATATGTTTCTTTTTATGGCTGAGTAATATTCCCTTGTGTATATGTATTGTGCATCTTCGTTACACATTCATTTGTCAGTAACCTAGAGGGGTGGGACAGGAGGGTGGGAGCAAGGCTGAAGAGGGAGGGGGATATATGTATCCCATAGCTGATTGGTGGTGGTGTACCGCAGAAACTAACTGTCAGTAACCTAGAGGGGTGGGACAGGAGGGTGGGAGCAAGGCTGAAGAGGGAGGGGGATATATGTATCCCATAGCTGATTGGTGGTGGTGTACCACAGAAACTAACAGCCTGGTAAAGCAATTATACTGCAACGGGAAAGAAAGACATGTCACAAAGGCTGCAGATGCGTTTGCCAGTGTAACCGGTGTTTTCATCCGTCTTCTCTCTGCACGGGGTTCTCCTCCTCCCCACCCAGACGTCTAGGGCACTCATGCTCCCTGCTGGTTGTCTGCAGCTCCTTGGAATAGCACGCCACCAAAGCCTGCTTACCCCCAGAGCAGGTCCAAAACGTGTCCTCCCTGGCTTCCACCGAAGCAGCATCTCTATTCTCTCGGTGGAGCGGTACCAAAAGTAACCAGCGGGGACACCCTTATCGTAAGAGACTGAGGGAAGCGCGTTGCTGCTTCCAGTGCCATTCAGCCCTCCCACGAGACAGAACAGGAGTCGGCAACTTGGTACTTAGTTTTCCAAATTGGTTTTGCTAACTCAAACAATTTTAGACTTAGAAATCTGTGATTCTGGAGGTCACAGTGAAAACTAAGATCGGGCCCCTTAAGATACATGTTTATTTGGAAAGACAACATATACTCTTTTTTTGTTTGTTTTTTAATCTTATTTGTTTATTTTTGGTTGCGCTGGGTCTTCATTGCTGTGTGTGGGCTTTCTCTAGTTGAGGCAAGAGGGGGCTACTTGTTGTGGTGCACGGGCTTCTCATCACAGTGGTTCCTCTGGTTGCAGAGCGTGGGCTCTGGGTATGTGGGCTTCATTAGTTGTGGTGTATAAGCTTAGCTGCCCCTTGGCATGTGGAGTCTTCCCAGACCAGGGATCGAACTGGTGTTCCCTGCATCGACACTGGACCTCCAGGGAAGTCCCAACATATACTCTTCGAATAATTTTTTTTTTACTATTAAATATCTCTTAGGTGCTAGCTGCTGTTGGTAAAAACTTTTTGAGACATTCTGTTTGAAAGACATATTTAGTGGTTGGGGGACATATACCCAAAATACTTTCAGCCAACATAGAAGTTAAGAGAACACAGGGACAAGAATGGTAGTGCTTATGCCGGACTGGGTTAGTTTCATAGAAAATGTGATATTTACACTGAACCTGGAAAGGTTGATTTTGGCAGACCAAGAAGGGGTTCTTTGTCACAAGATGAAGATTGGATTTTTCTCCTCTTACACTGATAGACTGTGGACACTTTCATGGTGGAGCTGCTGTTGTCAAATCTCTGTTTCAGAAAGTAGCTGTACAGAATATATCACAGTATAGAAAGACTCCTGATGGCATGCCCGTTGGGAAGCCACTGCAGTAATTCCTGGACTGTACAAAGGCACTAAGAGGTGGCTTCTTATCAGAATAGGCTGAAGACTTGTCCAGGGTTGTGTTTGCTGCTACGGTTGTTGTTTACATGTTTGTTTTTCACTAGCATTGTATGGTGATGGAGAGGGTGGAAGACAAAGCCCTCTCCCCCTTCCCTCCTGCCATCACTCCTTAGTACCACAGCTGCAGGCTACCGGAGTGGACAGTCTGGCAGTGAAAATAAAAATCAGGACATTATATGTATTAAACACATTTCAATACATCAGGCACAGAGGATCGATAGTACTTAATGTGAGGAAGAAGAGTTATAGTTGGGAGAAACATTTGTAAAGAGGTGGGAATTAGACTGGATTTTGAGATCAGGTAGGATTAGTGATGGGTGATACAGTGGTAAAGAATCTGCCTGCCAATGCAGGAGACTCAAGAGGTGAGGGTTTGATACCTGGGTAGGGAAGATCCCCTGGAGGAGGAAATGGCAGCCCACTGCAGTATTCTTGTCTGGAAAATTCTATGGACAGGGGAGCCTGGCAGGCTATAGTCAATGGAGTCACAAAGAGTTGGACATGACTAAGTACACACAGAATTAGTGAAGCAGACAACAGTCTTACTCTAGATTTTATGTGCTCAGAATGACAGAACCACAGGCAAGAAGGTGGAAAAGCATACAGATGACATATCCAGGCCCTGAGTGTGCTTTGGATCTTGTCAGAGGCAGTGCAGTGAGAGCAAATGTTGCAGTGTTGGTTGGATCAAAAATGTGCATGGTCTAGAATATTGGATTCTACATGGTGATTGTAGGGAAACAGAATTTTGATAATAAGAATTTTGTAGTTATAGTAAGTTTGGAGAAGACATATTTGTAGGGAGCAGCCAGAATTCACTGGAAGCCCAGAGGCAGGAATTCTAGGCATGAGGCTGCCCAAATTCACATGGATCTGCAGACATGGATCAAAACCCCAGACATCCATGCTCCAGAGCTCATGTTTATCTCACCCTACCTTGTGAACAGAGAAAATGGAGATGAGGTAAGAGGGATTTGGTGATTACAAAGTCAAAGGTGGAATTCCAAGGAACATTTTTTCTTAGGAGATATATGTAGAAGCCATTTTTCATTGAATTATGGAGGAACTGGGTAACAAACAGCCCCTCAAGCTGCTAAAATGATTAAGCAGTAGGTTAAGCCAGTTACTTGTCTTGCAGAGATCTTATTTACTGTGCAACTGACCAAAAATTGTGTGTCTTATATAATTTCCACTCCAATATTCACCTCTTGGCTGCTCATGTGGTGGCTTGTTCCTTTTATCCAGGTTCCTGATGTTTTTCATGGCCGAGAGAAGGTGGGTTTGTGGCTCATGTCAATTAATGACATGTGTTTTGGTCTTTCTTTCCTCTGCATTGATCTATGTTGCTGTTCGGAAATCTTTTAGTACATAAATGGGGAGTTTGGCTTTGGGGAGTTGGGGTTTGGGGAGTTGGCTTTGAAAATAATTCAATTTTTTAAAGTGTCCCTTAGAAGAAAAATTTTTCCCTTGCCAGTGTGTACATCACACGGAAAAGAAACAGTTCTAGTCATAGTGATACAAGGTGTGCATTTGTGCTTTATCCCTTCTTAGGGCATCATTGCAGAGTATAACAAAATCAATGATGTGAAGGAAGATGACGACACAGAGAAGTTCAAGGAGGCCATCGTGAAGTTCCACCGGCTGTTTGGAATGCCCGAGGAGGAGAAGCTCGTCAACTATTACTCTTGCAGCTACTGGAAGGGGAAGGTCCCCCGACAGGGTTGGATGTACCTCAGTATTAATCACCTTTGCTTTTATTCTTTTCTGATGGGAAGGGAAGGTGAGTCCTCTAGAATTTCAGAGGGAAGCTTTTGAAAGTCTGCTGAGGTTTTTGCCTTCCTGAATGTAAACTATATCCAAACATCAACAGTAGTAAATCTGCAGTTGTAACTGATTTGTGATGACTTAACAGTTGAATTCAATCATTTTTGGCTCAGTTGCTGTAAACTACTTGATCGGGAGATAATAAAAATTGACCAAAGGTATAATTCATTTAGTAGACATGGACTTAAATCTGTAATAATCATAACTCAGAATGTTTGTGGTCCAGATTTGTCTTTTGAAACTAACAAGCAGAATAATAATAAATATAAGCACATAAGCCCATAGGAGTTCCATGAAATTGGAGGATGGTGTTGTGAGATTCCAGTATTTTGAAAGGATTTTAAGGAACCACATGTTGACCAGCCTCGTTCTCTGTGCTCAGCCAAGCTGGTCATCCGGTGGGTGGACATCACTCAGCTCGAGAAGAACGCCACGCTGCTTCTACCCGATGTGATCAAAGTGAGCACAAGGTCCAGCGAGCATTTCTTCTCTGTATTCCTCAACATCAATGAGACCTTCAAGCTAATGGAGCAGCTCGCCAACATTGCCATGAGGCAACTCTTAGACAATGAGGGCTTTGAACAAGATCGATCCCTGCCCAAACTGAAAAAGAAATCTCCTAAGAAAGTGTCTGCCCTAAAACGGTAGGTGACAGAGACCTGAAGTCTTACGGACTTTAGAAACAAGAACCCATCTGTTCATTTATGAAAGTTAACCTTTTCTGAACAGCTTCAAGGGTTCAGAACACTTTTCTGGGTATAAATACAGAACTGAAAAAGACTGCCTAAAGCACCCACAGTTCAGTAAGTGAGGTGGACATGACCAGCACCAGCAGGATGGGACCTCTTTTGGTGCTGAGAGCAGGACACCATGAGTACACACACAGGGAATAATGGGCAGAGAAGGACCTCTCCATGAAGCCGCTCAAAGCTGGGCTCTCAAAATTACTCAGTCAGAGTCAGTAGGATGGATATTACTTTAAGACATATTATTTCAGGCAGAGGGACAATATGATAAGGGAAACACAAGGGGAAAGAGGAGAGAAAGCTCGTCAACATTTATGGAAGGTGGCTGGGCATGAGATGAGGCTATGCTGCAGAGAAGCCCAGAAGTCTGGATGTGAGAGTGAAGGCCTAGAGAGAAGGCAAGGGGAAAATCGATGTTCTAACGTGTGATGGTATGCATGGAATCACCCCTAAATGAGATGGGGACGAGGGAAGGGAGAGCGTGTCCAAAAGATATGAGGATTCAGTTTTGATCACGTTGAGTTGAGTTGCCTTCAGGGCGTCTAATGAGACACCAGTTCAGTGGGATAAATGGAATTGGCCATCATTGGTCGTTGAAACCCGACGAGGTCACTGCAGTGAAAACGCCTTTGGTGATTTGAGACATGTTTTGATAGACTGACACGAAGATGGGTTACTGTGGTGGGCTGAATGCACATGGAAGGCAAGGCAAGGGAATTAGGTCAGTACAGACTGCTTTTTCAAGAAATTCAATGGTAAAGTAGGGGGTTTGCTCTCTTTTAGAATGAAAACATTTGAACAGAAGGTAGTGTGAAGTAGGCAGGTGGGAAGAGTTTGTTGATGAGGGTATAGCACAAGGACAGAAGGGAGCATAGAGATAAAACTAGAAGAAAATGAATAATTTAAAAAATGGCATCTTGGACTTCCCTGGTGGGCCAGTGGTTAGGACTCTGTGCTTCCAGTGCAGGGGGCTCGGGTTCAATCCCTGGTTGGGGATTTAAGATCCCAGATACCGAGCAAAGTGACAAAAAAAAAAAGATCTCACAGCATGCAGAAGGATGCTTGTGTGTGCTGATACCTCTCCCTTTGAAACAGGTAAAAGAAGAAGAAGGAGGTGAGGCTGGAGGTAGTTTTAGAGATAGAAGGGAGGGAACTGGAGGGCCTGTCTTTGCCTTGTGAAGACAGAAACTGGATCATCAGGGGCTGAAGTGGCCTAAAAGCTTGAGCAAAGATGTTTAAATGATGAACAGGAAGAAGGAACTCATCAGAGAAAAGATTTTGGCCACTGGAGGACCCAGCTGAGGTTAGACACTCTGGTTGTCCAGGAGGTGGGTTGTTCCTGTGTTTCAGGAAGTTTTATTGTTTATTCAAGGTGACCACTGACAGCCTGCAGGTTCATGTGGCTTATGTTCGTCCTCATTAGGTCATTCCTAAAAGATAAGGCCCCGAGAGTGGCTGTGGATGAGTGTAAATGTAACCATCTCTTTAGAAATTACTGCGTTCTTTTAGAAAGAGAATTATTTCCTGTCCAGGCCTTGTTTTCCTAGATTCTTTGTTTTCCAAGGTTCTTTGACAGTTACAGATACTGATTGTAGAATGACCACACAGGGGACCTAAATATATTAAAATGATTTGACTGTGCTTTTGGGTCATCGTTGGAGTTAACTCCAGAAGAAAGCCAAGAAGGTAGAAAAAAATCTGACAAGGTGGAAGGGAAAGATGGGCCGGGAAATCTCCGTGGCCACATCATTGAGAGGTACTCATACTTTTCTCTTGTGGGGTGAGTCATTACTGTTGTTTTCCAGTGATCTGGACGCCAGGGCCAAGAGTGAGAGGTACCGTGCACTCTTCCGGCTGCCCAAAGATGAAAANCCTCGCCTTCTCCCAGAGTCCACAAGTCTGTTCCATACATCTGAGTCTCTTTTTCTGTTTTGCATATAGGGTTATCGTTACCATCTTTCTAAAGTCCATATATATGTGTTAGTATACTGTAATGGTCTTTATCTTTCTGGCTTACTTCGCTCTGTATAATGGGCTCCTTATTGGTAATTCTTTTCTGAGTATCTTATCTTGTCTTTCTGTGTATCATCACTGAGTTGGCTTTTAACTATGGGTGAGCGTTCATAATTCTTTGGTGGCATCTGCCACTCTTTTATGCATTGTCATCACTACGAATGACCATGGGACCTGCAAGGTGTCTTCCTCTAGAAGCAGACTGGTGTTTTATTCTTGTTCAGGTAAGGTGAGATCAACGGAGCAGGAGATGACTGTCCTTGAAAAGATGCTGGTTATACTCATGGATCCCATCGGGGGTGCACGTCATGCTAGAGGGCCCACAGGGAGACAGCCCCAGGTGGGTCAGCAGACAGGAGCAGGGAAAGATGTGGACTGGAGTCTTCATTGTGATTTCCATGGGAAGAAACAGGTGAGACAGGATAAGCAGGCTTGGGATTGGCAATTCCAGCAGGCTCTAGGGCAGAGGCCCTGTCCCTAATTGTCTGGTTCCTGGCCCTGGGGTGACAAGGGCAGGATGAATAGGGGCCCTGAGTGTGAGAGCAGGTGAAGGAGGTCGTTGGGGTTTGGATTGGTTGGTTTGCTTGTGAGAGGCCTTCTTACAGGTGAGTCCTTTACTCTCTCCAGGGGTTGGGCAACTCTGGGTCAACATGGCCCTGGGATGTGAAAACATCAAATAGAGAAACTAGAAAGTGTAGTTACCACTCCTGGCCCACAGCCTGAGCATCTTGATCTTTAGAGAGGTGGTCTAGGTTGTGAATCAGAAAGTCAAGATCTGTCTAGTTTGTTGGTTCCCTCTGTTAGAACCAGCGGGACCACTGGCCGCAGTGGCCAGATCTGTATCTCTGCAGATTTTGGAGTCTGTATTTTAATAAAGTTCCAGGCTGATGCCCATGGACAGTGAAGACTGAGGAACATTATTATTGTACCTGGGTTGGAGGTGGGTTCTCTCGTGTCTTCACAGTGATAGGTTGTTCTGGTACTTGTGGAGAAGCCTTGCTGTTGGGGGTTGAGAAGAAATTCCAGGTTAGGATGTCCAGGGCTGGCAGATCCGCAGTTTCTAACCTGGCTGCTTTCAGCCTGCTTTGGTCCTTTCCTAGAAATTAAGATGCTTAGCTTTGGCTATTTAATCACGGTTGAGCCTTTGATAAGATTTCCTATGGCAAAGGATTCAAGTTTCTCTTTGCCTTGCTTTCTTTTTTTTAAAAAAATAATCATTTATGTAAGCAATTTTTTTTCTTGTTTGCATTGTTATCACAGAAAATTATTAAAATATAGACAAATAGAAAGAAAACAAAACTCATCCCTAGTCCCACCATTCAGAAATGACCACTGTGAACATCCTATTATATAGTTGTTCAGGCTTTCTATGCATTGCTGTGTATATTTCATTTATATTATTTAAGTATAAAGAAATAATGAACTTTATTTTTTGTTTATTTCTCTTAACAGTGAGTGTGCACTAAACTTAGTTCCATATCATAAAGTATTCTTTTATAACATTTAATGACTGCATATTATTCCATTACTGGATATGTATAATTTATTTCTTCTTATTTAGGTTGTCTTTGGTTGGACCTTTGCATTATTTTTCTTTCGTTTCCTCCCAATCATATGTATAATTTTCCTTAAAGTATAAATTCCTGGAAGTTTAATTGGTGGATTAAAATGAATGCAAAGTGTTAGACAATGGAAAATCTAGTTTTCTTTCTTATAGGGTAAGCTCATTGGTATTATAACACATGTGGAGGCCAGGAATTACTGGGGGTGAATTCTGAGATGGATGGTTGATCAGTACTTAGAATTGGCTCTGAAATGTGTCTCATGACTTTTTCCAATAAGCTTACCCTCTTTATCTTAGGGTGTTACTAAACTCTGTGTGTGGTGGTGGGGTTGGGGGTATGGTAACTGACATCACGTACTAGTTTCAGGTTAACATAGTAGTGATTTGATATTTGTATATATTATATAATGATCACTATGATAAGTCCAGTTAACATCTATCACCATTCATAGTATGCTATTAAAGTCTGCTATTAAAAATGTTCTTCATCAAGTACTATGAACAAAATAAAGCAGAGTGACCTGGATCCACTAGGGAAACCCATCCTGGGATTAAGAATATACTGAGTGTATCATTTATAAATCCGAGTGAGTCATCACTTTGTTTTTCCAAAGGTAACTGAGGAACAGAGGGGCTGGAGGCTGCCACCCCACATCTGCTCCCCTCTTCCCTTCCTCCTGGTTCATTTTAGTGTGATCTACAATAGGATTGTGAGAGCTTGGAGGAGTTACTCCTAACTCCTTGGTGGTTAATATCCTCAGCCCATCTTGTGCTTACTAGTTTTCCCTAACAAGTCAGTAGGGCAGAGATAATTCAGGCTTATTTCAGGATAAGTCAGAAGATGGGGGAGGATAGTATAGGTGGCATTTAGAGGAAAAGTGTGTTGTGGTCAGAGGGTGAGGCTTGAAAGAAACCCCCAATGAGACAGCAGTGCCCTTTTTTACCCCAGTGAGTCACTGAGATATATTAATGGTAAATCCTAAACCTCAACTAATGGAAGAAGCAAAAGACTTGCATTTATTCCTACTCCAGGTTATATAATGACAACAGTGCACTAGGGCAGGGCTCCCACCCCCTATCCAGGTCTGTTTGAGCAGAGAGTAATCTCTCCATGAACTGAGTTAAGCTGACTGATCAGTGGCAGCTTCAAGGAACCTTGCATCCTCCTTGGAACAGCTCCTTTTGGAATTGTGTAGACTAGGGATTGCTGTTGTATTTCATTTTTTATAAATAAGTGGAAATATTGACTGGAGATTGTTAATATACATTCTGCATGCAGACTAAAGGTAGAGTAAATCGACACATGTTAAATGTTTACACAGTGTCATGTTGCTGTAGATTTTAAAGAAAAGTCTGAACTAGCAGCAAGAGGATAAAGTGATGAGAGTCCTCATTAGCATTTCTAGATGTAGTCTCTCTTCTTTTTTTCAATTATAAATTACCTTGTAATTGTTCCATGTGAAACACCAAGATTTGATTAAATTCAAGCTATCTTACAATTGTAGTTGGTGATGAAAATGTGTCTCATTGTGTAGAACATTCCAGTGAAGCTATTACCCTTTCTTGGAGGCGCAGAGTTTCAGGGGTAGAATTCTACCAGAACTCATTTGTCAGTGAAAAATACACGCTAACTCGTGGGAAGCTGCCTAGGGTTTCTGTAGGTGCTTTCTTGCTGTCTCTGTATTCATGATCCTGCTAGATACTAGACTTCCATGCAGATTTCATCATGAGCACATGGTATCTTTGTTTTAGGTACAGAACTTGAACCTTTCATCCTCTTGGTATCTTGTCATTAATTGCAGATGCCTGGTGACTAAAACAATCAGAAAAAATCTGTTGGGAGAAAAGGAGCTTTTATCTGTCTTTTAAAATAAGCATTGTTTAACATATGTCTGAGGTATCATGGGAAAATCCTTTTCTTGATAAAGAAGTTGGCTTCCCCCTCTCCCCCTGACCCTCACCAATTTCTCTAGCTTCCTTAGCTTTGGAGGAAAAAACTCTTAGGTACAACTATACATATCTCAGAATATTCCTTGAAAAATGTATGAATATATATCTAACTTGTACATGTTTATAAAAGCTGAGAACAGAACTCAGGTCCTGCAGTTTTTCCCTTTATGGACCCCAGTAATACCTGTTTTGCACTTGTGACCCTGCAACTTTTTAGGCAATTCCAATAGGTTACTTAGCCTTGAAAGGGAGAAAGGTTTTTAAAGTTCTGCTCAGAGGAAGTGTCTTTCACATGAAAATGCTGATGCAGAGGTTGAAGTTGAACCTGTCTAGACTGCTTACAGTGGAAATGAAGATGGGAAAGAAACTAAACTCTTAAGTACACAATCAGCACTGCTGCAAATAAACCATTTATCTAGAGCTGGCCTTGAGATTTTTCTTCCTAATGTGCTAATGAAAAGAGTTGTAGTGCATTTATCTTAGTTTCCAGTTGATGAAAATCCTATTATAAACCAGCAAATATATGCCATCATTTCAAAGCTGAAACACATGTCCCTTACTTTTACTTTTCTCCTGATGTGGTAGACTTACTTTACTACAAATACAAATACGGATACGCACAAATACTTACTTTACTAAAAATACAAATACAAATACGCACAAATACACACACACACACACACACACACAGAGTCAGCCCGTGCAGGTAGGGTTGCAATTAAGCTGTTTACGTCATGTCTGCTCAAAATCAAGCCTTTAAAACTTTGAAGTGGTAAGAGGTGAGGAATGCAAAGCCCTGGAGTCTAAACGAGACATTTGAAGGATTGGTGGTATTTTAAAAGCCATGTCCACATTAAGCTAATAAAAGGACCCAGTATCGTGGGTTGTTTCTCTCTCTTAGAGATGAAGCACCAGCTAAGAGTCCTCCCTCTTAAAGTTCCATGAAATTTTAATGAAAGTCAAAGAATTTCTTCACAACAAGGTTTCTCAGCCTTGGCACTGTTGACATCTTGGGCCGTGCTGTGTTGGGGTGGGCTGACTTGGGTCCTGCGCCCTGCACGATGTTTAGCTTCATCCTTGACTTCCACCTGTGAGATGCCAGTGGTACCCTCCAGTTGTGACTGCCAGAAGTGCCTCTAGATGTTGCCAAATGTCTCCTGGGGCTGGGATGGGGACTCACTCTCGATTTATAACTTCCAGCAAGATAATTTCAGTTCCAGTTTCATTAGTTCTGAGCTGTTTTCTTTTATTGGGACAACGTTCAGGAATCTCAACTTGCCTCAATGAAATACAGAGGTTCCTGTTGAGATTGAGTCCACTTCTTTCTCCAGTGCTCAGCATCTTCAGCACTCAGAGGTTGCCGTCGGGTGATCCCTGGGAAGTAATGCTCTTGGTGGCCTGTTTCTTTCCAGGTGACTATTGTAGAGAAGGCAGACAGCTCCAGTGTGCTCCCCAGTCCTCTGTCCATCAGCACCAGGAACAGGATGACCTTTCTCTTTGCCAACTTGAAGGACAGAGACTTTCTGGTGCAGAGGATCTCTGACTTCCTGCAACAGACGACCTCCAAAATATACTCAGACAAAGAATTCGCAGGAAGCTACAACAGTTCGGATGATGAGGTTGGTGGAAGGCACCTGCGGGTTTGGTTCATCCTATTTCTCTTCACTAGGAAGTGTTCACCTCCTGGTCTGTTTTGTTTGATCTTGAAGCTTTGCAGCTATGCTGAGATGAACCAGCTACTCTGATGTCCAGAGCAGACGTCTCATTTACGTCTCATAGTGTTTGTATTTAGGATCATAGAATTGGACATCTAATCTCACCCTCTTCTTTCACCGTTGAAGGTGTTATGAAGTGATTTAACCTGATTACATAGCAAGTGACTCTGGTCTAAGTGACTCTGTTGGGAATTATACAGAGGTCACCCAGTAAAGTCTCAAATCTGAAATGCAATATCATTATGATGATTTTATTATGATACAATATGAATTGTGTCCCTATTGAATTAGGGTCTGAACCCACATCCAGGGAAACTGGGCCCTGAAAGATACATGATTAGCTCAAATGATGAAGCGACTTGCAGTGAAAATACGTTGTAAAGCTGGCGAGCTCCTGTTTACCTGCCCTAAGCTTCTGTGGGCATTTTTGAGGCACCAGAAACTAGATAGATAGGAGGCGAGGGGGGAGGTCCCATCAGCAGTTGATTCAACCACGTCATGCTTTGCATGCATACTAATCAGAGAGGTAAGTGTCCAACCAGTTTGTTGTAAAAATGAATCTAAAATACAGAGGAGGCATTTCCCTGGTAATCCAGTGGTTAAGACTCCATGCCTCCAATGAAGGGGATGCAGATTCAATCCCCGATTGGGAAACTTAAGGTCCTTCATTTTACGGACCACAGCCAAAAAATAAAATACAGAGGAAACCTATTGGGAAGATTGAAGCTCTGTGGCGCATGATCCCATCTAATTCTCACCAAAATGCTGGCTTCCTGGCTTCCTCCTGCTACATCACCTAGCACGACACCTCCTGGGAACCATGGTGAAGCTATTAGTGTCTGTCCAGAGGACAGTCAGGTGGCTCGGTGGTAAAGAACCTGCCTGCCGATGCAGGAGACACGGGGTTTGGTCCCTGGGTCGGGAAAATGACAATCCACCCCAGTGTTCTTGCCTGGAGAATCCCATGGACGGAGGAGCCTGGCGGGCTACATCCATGGGGTCTCCAGGAGTAGGACCCGACTGAGCACAAGAAGGTGGAGGAGAGGATGTTGAAGAAGTCGATTCTGCAGCGCTAACCGCCCCACCTCTCGGTGCCTGCCTTGGCAGGTGTATTCCCGGCCCAGCAGCCTCGTTTCCTCCAGTCCCCAGAGGAGCACCAGCTCCGATGCTGATGGCGAGCGCCAGTTCAACCTCAACGGCAACAGCGTCCCCACGGCCACGCAGACCCTGATGACCATGTATCGGCGGCGGTCTCCCGAGGAGTTCAACCCCAAATTGGTGAGTGCCGCCTTCTCTTGCCTGGAATTTTCTGTATTAGAACAGGAATGTTTTTTTAAAAATCTTTTAAAATAAACTCATCAATGCGTCACTGGACAGTTTCCTACAAGTGAAGGATATTTTTTAAAAAATACAAATGATATATAAATATAACATACAATGACATATTTGTATGTCATCGGGGTTTCAGAGTGGCTTCATTGTGAAAGGAGATGGGTCATGTACTTCTATATGCAGGTGACATTTTTTAGTTTTGTGTTTTAACTGTTGCTTAAGTAACCAACAAGTAAGTACATAATGTCTCAGCCCACGTTTAACAAACATCCACTCCATTGCACTTGGAGGTATAGACATAAAGCTGTAAGTAACATTTGCATTCTCCTGACCCACCTCAGGGAAGTGGCATTCTGACTCCAGGCCAGAAAGCTTCATGGCAGATCCACAGGCTCTGATATATGGGTCAGGTCACAGAAGGTCTTCAGAAAATATGAGTTCTTTGTTCTCATAAATTCTGTCCAGAACTAACCAGCTCCATTCTCCAGGGAAAATGTTTTGACTTTCCGTCAAACTTGTCCTGACCATTCTCGAACTGCTTTGGGTGTAATGATGCTACATCATCCCTTTCAGGCCAAAGAGTTTTTGAAAGAGCAAGCCTGGAAGATTCACTTTGCGGAGTACGGGCAAGGGATCTGCATGTACCGCACGGAAAAGACCCGGGAGCTGGTGCTGAAGGGTGTCCCTGAGAGCATGCGTGGGGAGCTCTGGCTGCTGCTGTCCGGTACGGGGGGGCTGGAGTCGGAGCACTCCTCGGAGTGTGGGGGTCCCCGGGGCTGCCCTCAGCCGTCCACCGTGCATCGGAGCTATTTCAAATATGCAACCCCCAATTCAACCCAGGGGCCTAATTTCTAATCAGTGAAGTGCAAATCAATTTACCCTGTCATTACATATGTGTGTGTCTGTATATATGCATGTGTGCTGAGTCGCTTCAGTTGTGTCTGCCTCTTTGCAACCTCATGGACTGTAGCCTGCTAGGCTCTTCTGTCCATGGGATTCTCCAGGCAGGAATACGGAGTTTTGGGTTGCCATTTCCTACTCCAGGGGATCTTCTGGACCCAGAGATCAAAGCCAAGTCTACTGTATTGGCAGGTGGATTCTTAAAACACTGTGCCATCTGGGAAGCCCATGTGTATATGTACACATATTTAACATATAAGTACCTATTTAATTATATAATATGTACATACATATGTGTGTATTTCTATATGTACATATTTGTATGTATGTATATGTGTGTGTACATAAACCTTATACTTAAATAAATTATATTTAACTAGATTCATAGTTGAGTGCTTGCATCCAGGGTCTGTCTGTCTTTAAGAATCATAACATGCAGATATGTCAAAGCAGGAGTTCTCACCCACGTCTGCATCCTCCTGCCCAGCACCGAGGAGCTCCCTTCCACAGCCGTGGCTCCCCACTGCCAGGAACATGGCCCCTGCCCCCTGCAATTCTGAAAATCCCTCTTCATCCTTCCTCCTACTCTTCAGTATGGCTCTTTGTGAGCCCTTCATAATTTCAGTTTTTAAACTTGTTTTGAGAGACAAAGCATCCCTTTTCAAGTGAAATCATAAGGAAAACCCCGATAAAATGCAAGCAAGGCTGCTTGGAGACGGCTGAGGCTTCCACTTGGCTTTCTCTGCCCACTTCCCTGTTCTTCTCTGAGCAGCCCCTTTGGGTTGTCTGTGGAACACAGTTTTTAGGTTGGAAGCCTCTACCTTAGGGAGGATTTTTTGTTTGTGTGTGTGTAGGGAGGTTTTTAAAAAATTCATTATTTTTTTTAAATTGAAGTGTAGTTTTACAGTACTGTTAGTTTCAGATGTATAGCATACCCACCCATTGTCTTTTTTTCTGATGATTTTGCCTTATAGGTTATTACAAGATATTGACTATAATGCCCCGTGCTATACAGTAAATCCTTGTTACTTCTCTGTCGTCTGACTGGTAGTTTGTATCTATCAATCCTATACTGTAGTTTGTCCCTCTCCCATCCTCTTCCCAGCTTTGGTAACCGTAAGTTTGTTGTCTGTGTCTGTATCTACAGTCATTTGTACCATTGTTTAGGCTTCACATGTAAGTGATATCACAGAGTGTGTGTGAGAGAGAATCACTCAGTTGTGTTCGCCTCTGCAATGGACTGTAGCTCACCAGGCTCCTCCGTCCATGGGACTCTCCAGGCAAGAATTCTGGAGTGGGCAGCCGTTCGCTCCTCCAGGGGAGCGTAGAGTACAGGGAAGTTTTTAAGCCACCGGCTTCCAGTGGAGCAGGAAGAGGGAAGGGGGCCCGGGGTGAAGTTATAGTCTGGCTGAAGCTGTGACACGGGTCCTCACAGGAGGAAGGGGAAGGCCGGGTCAGGCAGCCACGATTCCAGACCAAGGCCAGGGCTCCCACCTTCTGATGCTGGGTCCGTTTGGTGTCTCCCAGGTGCCATCAACGAGAAGGCCACCCACCCCGGCTACTATGAGGACCTCGTGGAGAAGTCCATGGGGAAATACAACCTCGCCACGGAGGAGATTGAGAGGGACCTGCACCGCTCGCTTCCAGAGCACCCCGCTTTCCAGAACGAAATGGGCATCGCGGCTCTGAGGAGAGTCTTGACTGCTTATGCTTTTCGAAATCCTAACATAGGGTATTGCCAGGTGAGTGTCACAGATGGGTAAGACTTTAAAAAAAAAATGTTTTCTGCCAGCTGGTAAGTAATAAGAAAGGCTTTATGGGGGACTTCCCTGGTGGTCCAGTGGCTAAGATTCCATACTCCCAGGGGGCCCGGGTTCGATCCCTGGTCAGGGAACTAGATCCTGTATGCTGTCGCTAAGACCTGGTGCAGCCAAATGAATAAATAAATATTTCTTTAAAAAGAAGAAAGGCTTTATGGTTAAGAGAGCAGTTGCTGCACCAGGGTCTCTCGACCTTGGTACTGTTGGCATTGTGGACTGAATAATTCTTTGTGTGGGGCTGTCCTGTGCTTTGGGGAATGTTTAGTTAACATTCCTGCTTAATAACATGTTTAATAGCATCTTCTCACGGAATGCCAGTGCTCCCCACTTGTGACAACTAAATGTTTTTAGACCTTGTCAGGTCTCCTCTGGGAAGCACGGTCTCCCAGAGCAGAGAAACACCGCCCTGAGCAAAGGAGCCAAGGGATAAGAGTGCCCTTTCTGGATCCACCACTGTCTGGTGGCCTGGCTGGTCACTAACTGGTCATGAGCATATCTGGGCCCCAAGCCTTTAATTCTGCATTCTGGGTTCCCCAGTGCTCCTACCCTTTGCAACTCCTAAGCAGATAATGTCCTTGAGAATGTAGCTGTTATATGCTATGGCTATATTTTAAGGCCCACTAAAATAAATATGTAATTCACTATTTAAAAATGTTGCCCATATACCAACCACAATGATTGCTTGTGTATGTTAGTATGGATAGCACAATTTGGAAAGCTCTAAGATAGTGTCTTAGATTGATTTAGATTGAAAGGCCACATATGTACCCAGAGAGACCTTCCTTGACCATCTAGTTGAAACCTAAAGCAGGCTTAATTCCTCAAAACCTGTATACACACACACATACACACATCCACGCAGATCACAGGTCTCCCTGTACATGTTATCTTTTTGATAGCAGTTAATTTAAAATATACCTCCAAATTGATTAATCAACCTTTACATCTTTTTTCTCTCTCTGACCCCTGGATTTATGGCCTGTGAGATTTGTCACCACTCTGCCCCCTCCTTTTCCCCAGTACTTAGTCCAGAGCCTATTACAAAGTAGAGCCTCAAAAGAAACTTACCTTGAATGACTAAGAAACCAGCCATGACCATGATCATGTAGCAGGCAGGTTAATCCTCAAGTGGAATTTTAATGATTTCACTTGGGAACCTGTTGAGTCAGGCTTACAAGGAAGAGCCTATTAGACCAAAATTCCTTTTTCAACATTTATATTGTAGGAATCTGATGAACACTTACTTAACCGGTTTCTCAAGGATCAAAGGAAGTACAGGCGGGAGCTGGCTTCTAATATCATAGAGTTCATATTTATCTTTTGATCTTCCTCTTTTTAATTAAGAGGACTATTAAAGTAGTTGAGCCTGGAGTGCTTTTGAGCTAGCTGATAATATCTTTTAATAAAGTAGATTACTTTAGAATTAAACCCCTGTTACTCATCACTACCATCCTTATCCAGTCAGAAATAATGGGCGAGGACTTCAACTTTGAAAGGTTTCATTGTTCCCTGAAGAGTGCCTCAAGCCACGTGTAGTTGGTGATAGAAACAATTACGGAAGATTAAAAGGGAAATATTCACCTCACCGAATTAAGGATTACAAACACCGAGACTAATAGGTTAAAAGCTTTGTCAAATAGGCTTTGAATATAGTTTTTGAATGAGGATTTGTGGTCATGGGGAGCCCAGTCCTTGGTGCATATTGGTGTTCATGGAGCCCTTAACAGTTACCAGGCAAAAAAAAAAACAACAAAAAAAAAAACACAAAACCCACAAAACATCAACAAACAAAAGCAAAACACTTAGCAGGCTGAAGTTCTGAGGGTTTTTACATTTTTTAAAACTTGTAAACAAAACAAAACTCAGAAGAATGTGTGTATGTAAAGCCTTTACGTATTTATTATCTGTTCTTTTGTGGAAAAAGTGTGCTGGCTCCTTTGGGACTAACTCAGTTGTTATTCAGGTTAACAAAGTTGCTCATATGTTAAAATGTGTCTGATGTATTTAAAATGTATCTGATGACATCTTCTTTCATCCCTTTAGGCCATGAATATTGTCACATCTGTGCTGCTGCTTTATGCCAAAGAGGAGGAAGCTTTCTGGCTGCTGGTGGCTTTGTGTGAACGCATGCTCCCTGATTATTACAACACCAGGGTGGTTGGTATGTGAGGCTGCAATTAATTTATTACCCTTATCTCATCAGGAAAATGTTTCTAGAACCAGGAAACCAGCTGTAACCCTATTTCCAGTCACCATTAGCCAAAAGAGTGTCAGATAACTCGTTTCCCCAAGTGGGAATGAGAGGACTTGAATCAATATAGATTATACACAAAGGAGCACCATGGAGCTTCTCCCCCTGGAAAGAATATACGTCTCACTGCTTTAGAAAATACTCAGTGTGGGTGTCTGTGGCATGTGAGAGCTACACCAGGCACACAGATCATCAGTCCCAAAATAGTGCTTTCATGAAGAGCTTGGAATCTATGGAAAGCAGAAGGATTCAAAAAAGGAGTGGGCAGAATAGCATATAAAAATATATTCAGAGTTCAGTTTCTAAGGTATTTTTCAGAACTGGTTTCACTGCAAAGCAAACAGTGATGGTGAGCATTTAAATAAATTATTGGTGTCTGTCCATATAATCTCCTCCAGTGTTAGACATTCATTTTAGCAGATCAAGCTTTTCATTGCTAGTTATAGCAAAAGGTGTACCTCATGCTCTCCTCTGTTCTGTCTTCATTTCTAAACTTTTGCACAGTAGATTCATTGGAAATATTCTCCAGAAACCTCAGGAAGTTGATCATGAATGTGTACAGCTGGAATGCTTATAATTTGGGGGGGATGGGGGGAACAATTATTTAAAGAAACAATTCCTGTATGGGGACCAAGCATCCAGAAGAGTGATTTTTTTTTTAAAGAGTTCGCCAAGAAATGAAGCTACTTAGATGTATATTTCATGCCTAGCCAAACATATGTTGCCAGGAAAATAATTGTGTGTCTGGAAGATCTTGTAAGTTGACCTTTTCCACAGCTCTTAGAGGTGTGATGATATTGCTCTTTTATGATAAAGAAGAAGGGAGGAAGGCCCCAGAAAGAGAAGCTGCAGTCAGAACTCATCTGGTGACTTGGCTGTGCTGATACCTTCATCTCGTAACGTAGTGATTAGAGTTCTGGCTCAGTAGCAGTTGTCAACTGGATTATTTTTATCAAGGTGCTGGGTTGGGTTCGTTTGTGAGAAGGTGCTGTTGGTTAACCATGCCCTTTTGCGTCCACCCCCGCTGCAGGTGCCCTGGTGGACCAGGGTGTCTTCGAGGAGCTGGCCCGGGACTATGTTCCGCAGCTCTACGACTGCATGCAGGACCTGGGCGTGATCTCCACCATCTCCCTGTCCTGGTTCCTCACCCTGTTTCTTAGCGTGATGCCCTTTGAGAGCGCAGTGGTGGTCGTCGACTGTTTCTTCTATGAAGGAATCAAAGTGATATTCCAGTTGGCCCTAGCTGTGCTTGATGCAAATGTAGACAAGCTTTTGAACTGCAAGGACGACGGGGAGGCTATGACCGTTTTGGGAAGGTATTTCTCACCTTGAAAACTACCTTTGGGTTTTCTTCTCTGTACTTTTCATCTGTCTTTCTCCTTGGTTCTGTGAGTCTTATTTGCCCTGATGGTTATCATAGGGCCCACTTCTCTGTGTGGTTGAAGATTGTTTTTTTTTTTTTTCTTTGACTTTAGATGTGAAGACAGTTAACTATACTTCAGTTTAAAAACATAATAAAATTTTAAAAAGAAGTGAAGGGATTTTCATTCACTCTTAAGGAAATTCTAGTCTTCTGATAGGGAGAGTTTGCAGAAAATCGGTGGACAGCTATAAATGGGGAATTCCAGATTCGCCTCCCAGTGACTCGGGATTCCGTTCTTCTTCAGGTATTTGGACAGCGTGACCAACAAAGACAGCACGCTGCCCCCCATCCCTCACCTCCACTCGCTGCTCAGTGATGACGTGGAGCCCTATCCCGAGGTTGACATTTTCAGACTCATCAGAACTTCCTATGAGGTAGGTCTGCCTGGGGTCACCACACTCGGCGTGCTCAGAGGGCCTCCGCTGGGTGTGCGCCACACGCTTCCATTGCTAACCCGGGGGTCCCCTGCCTCCCTCCTGGTTCTGAGAACTGGTTGTCGAAGCAGGCAGCTCTCTACCAGCTGACAGCTTTGAGCTTCAGAGAGGGCCATTGAATGAATGGGCCAGACACCACGGAGTGATTGCATGACCCGCTCAGGCCTCCGATTCTTGGCTTTGCCCACCTTGTAGGCTGATCAAGGAGAGGCTCTAAGAGAATTAAAAAAAAAAAATAGGTTCTTTAAAAAAAAATTGGTATGGATCCAGACACGTTTTCAGAAATGTGTGCCCTTAACTCAAAATACAAGAAAGGCTGATAATTTATTATTTCAGAAAATTTTTGTTAGCACTCCATACACATTAAAAACAAAACATTTGGGGTGTGTTTTAGCATGATAAAAGTAATGCATGCTTATTGTAAAATAATGTAGAGACTGAACGCATGTGAAAGAAAAACTGTGTCCTGTGAGCATCTCACCATATCTTCCTCCAGTGTGTTTCTATATTTGCAATTTATACTTAGTACAAGTATCTGCTTGTAAGGGCTTTGTAACTTCCCATTTTTGACTTAAAATACATGACAAACGTTCTCTGATATTTAATATATTGTTTGTTGGCAAGTTTTCATAGTCTTAATATTCTGCTTTAATGAGATGCCAAACCTTATTTAGCTGGTCCCTTTCGTTGGACATTTACTTCGGTTGCTTCCAAATTTTCAGTACCATATTGGCAAATTTGTATGGTATTATTATGTATATGTAATATGTATGCCACTATGTATTATATAAAAGTTTCTACACAAATAGTACATCTCTGACTTTTTTTTAAGAGTCCATTCTTAGGAATAGATTTCCAGTAATAGATCAAAAAGTATTAATTATTTCCAAGCTCCTGGCACACACTGTCCAGCTTCTATATAGATTTTCCTGATTTAAATTTTCACTAGTAGAGATTTAAGGATGACTGTTTCACTTCACTCTTTCCAAAACTGGTTATTATCATAATGCATTTTTTAAAAAATTTTTTGCCCCGGGCTTTTTATTGTTCTTCCTCCGGAATTTTTGATTGTTTTTTTTCCCGGAAAAGGGGCCCTTTTGCTTGAAGGCATTGTTTTTATTATACCTGTGGGTTGTTTTTCTAAAGGCATCCCCCGAAACCTTTATTGTGAAGAGAATTCTAGACCCAAGTAATAAAGCTTGGTATGTAGAAACTCAGCTTTGTTCTTCACAACAGATAAGCTAAGGTCTCGCTGAGGTCAGCACGTGGCCCGTTTTTAATGGGAAAGAGTGGCGAATGGAAGCAAGGCCAGAGCTCGTGTCCATTTCCTTCCTGTCTGTCTGGTCCCTAATGGTACCCCTCAGGCTGCCAAGAGTCCTATCGCAGGACACAGCCATAGTTTCCTTCCTCTGCCTGGGAAGACACCCTTGTTTATTTTTACCAATGCCTACATCACCTGCTGTTTCAATGCAGTGATTTGCTTTTTGTCTTCTCTTTGCTCAGTGGCACCGCCGTACTAATAACCTCCAGTGCCTTCCCAATGCCTTATCTGTGAGCACTTGCCAAGTCGCTCAGTCATGTTGGAGTCTGCGGGACCCCATGGACTGTAGCCCACCAGCCTCCTCTGTCCTTGAGATGCTCCAGGCAAGAATACTGGAGTGGGTTACCATGCCCTCCTCCAGGGGATCTTCCCGATCCAGGGATTGAACCCATGTCTCTTAGGTCTCTTGCTTTGGCAGGAGGGTAATTTACCACTGGTGCCACCTGGGAAATCCCCATTGCCTTAATAGGTCATCCTAAAGACAACACCACAAAGTCTTGCCTTTCCTTTTTTTTTGCTGCTTCCTATTAGATTGGTGGTCCTCAATTCTGCTTGTGCATTCAAATTCCTTAAAAAAATTTTTTTTTAAGACAAGCTTTAAAAATATAAATTCCTAGGCTCCATTCTAGACCAGTTCCCTTTGTATCTTGGTATGACACCTAAGAAGAAATATTTTTCAAAAGTTCCCAGGTGATTCTGGAGCCCAGTGGGGGCTGAGAGTCACTGCCCTAGATGCAGAATGGGGCCACTAGACGCCTAGGCGAATTTTAACCCGGTTATACAACAGACACCAGTATTCTGAAGCTGGTGACTCCTTGCTTTCCGTGCTTCAGGATAGTTAGCCAGGAAAATAGATATGTAGGAAGAATACTGAAAGCACATTCAGCCTTGAGGTCCCAGGATGCTGCAGGTCCATCACCTTTCTGCTGATGAGTAGATGTGATAACTTTCTTCATAAATGCCTCATGGGGAAATCTCATACATTGTGAAGTTCTCCCAAGTCCCTCCTGGAAGGAGGGGCAGTTTGAGAGACAATTTTCTTCTGTTTGGGCCCTGTGTGCCGTTTTGTTAGACACACAGACATGGTAGACAGAGTCCCATCCTTCAGGTTTAATCCATAGCCTCCTGGAAGACACAGAGCACATTAATAGAAGAATTACAGAAGGCACATGACCACCACAGAGTTTCTTCATGTTCAAGTTGACCCACCCAGAGCATTTGAGAAATGTTATGCAAGGGGATAACAGGGGATGAGATGGTTGGATGGCATCACCGACTTGATGGACGTAAGTTTGAGCAAGCTCCAGGAGTTGGTGATGGACAGGGAAGCCTGGCATGCTGCAGTCCATGGGGTTGCCAAGAGTTGGACATGACTGAGGGACTGAACTGAACTGAAGTGGGGATAGGAGGTGGCTGATAAAACAAAAGGAGGAGTTTGTGCACAAGGACAGACAGTTTGAAAGTGCAGATTAATGTGTTGGGCTTATTAATTTTGGTGATAATAGCTTTCACTCATGGAGAACCCGCCTCGTGTGGGACAGGTGCCAGGTGCTTCATCAGTAGCCCTACCAGGTCCATGTTCACACATTTTAAGGTTAAAATGTAAGTTGAGAGAGGTTGAGTCAATTCTCCCAAGGCACACAGAAAGTGGCAGAGTCAAGAGGCAGATGAGAGCTCCCCAGCATTAAAGCCAGAGCCAAGGGGGTGTGTCTGGATAGAATGTGGATGGACTTGTAGGTGTACGTATGGACATGAGGTCAATGGGTCCAGTAGAGTCTGGTTAGTGGGAAGTCTTGAAACCACTAATTGATTTGCAAGGCACCCGGCAGCCACTGCAAAGAGAGAGGATCTACTTAGCCATTGTTTGCTTGCTCTTTTCAGAATTCTAGTCTGTCAGAGCCCCTCCAAAAAGGCGAAGGGGCAGGGGAGAGGAGATCACGGCCCAGTCCTCTGCATAACCCATTTTCCTTTAGAAATCCTCCGGAAATAGCTAGGCAGGAACCTGGGAGTTTACAGTTTCCTTTTAGGTTGGGTCTGTTTGCTCTCAATGGAAGGGCCATTATATGTTTTCCATTGTGTCTGATTATGGCCAGTCCTTGGACCTGCCTGGCAAACTGCAGGGTCCATTTCTACTTGAGGAACAGAGGTTAATTAAGTATAAAATATAGAGGGCTCTTTGAAGGTCAGGCTTGGGGGAACTAACTCTTTGGGATTTTCTAAGCACAGATGCTGGTATGAGTTGCCCTTTCCTTCTCCAGGGGATCTTCCTCACCCAAGGATAGAACCTGTGCCTCCTGCACTGGCAGGTGGATTTTTTTTTTAAATACTTTTATTAGTTGGAGGCTAATTACTTTACNAAATGGATGTTGAATTTTGTCAAAGGCTTTTTCTGCATCTATTGAGATAATCATATGGTTTTTATCTTTCAATTTGTTAATGTGTTATATTGCATTGATTGATTTGTGGATATTAAAGAATCCTTGCATTCCTGGGATAAAGCCCACTTGGTCATGATGTATGATCTTTTTAATATGTTGTTGGATTCTGTTTGCTAGAAAAGTAGGTGGTGGAGCTATAGAACCAATGACTGAACCTTCAATTGCAGTGCAGCCCCTGTGGGACTCTGGGTGGCTTATAGAACCTCTCTGAACCTCAGTTTTCTCATCTGTTAAATAGAAGTAACAGTACTAATTCACAAGGTTATTGTAAGGATGACCGATGACATGGGCTGTTAATGTCCCTGCCAGTTGTAATGCAAGAATAGCTTCCTTCTGTCTCATAGGTAATGTTTCTTGGTTGATCAAAGGCAGACTGTGTCCTGGTTTGAAGTAAACCCACCCCTCCATCTTCAGCATGAGCTCTGTAGTGGATACTTCCCACTCTTCTATGAGGATCAAAAGAGTTACCTTTCTTGGGAGTTTTAATCCCACCCAAGGATTTAACCCAGAGTGAATTAAGTATGACATTTTTCATCACTAGTGGCAGCTCCTACTAACAACTTTTTAATTCTGGCTTCTAAGTGGTAGTAATGGCCATATCTTCTTTAGAGTGGAGAGGATTCTGACTCGGCCTTGAGAAGACACTTCTCTGAAGATGGGAAAATTCATCCATAAACCCTGCATTTGTAGATCAAGACCCTCTGATCACATTAAGTGATGAAAGTTCTAAGTAACTGGTCTAAGTTCTAAGATGTCAGTGTACTCTTGTCTTAACTATTGGGAAAGAACACCTGAGTCAAAATGCAATTCTCTTTCAAAGCAGGAAAAACATATTGAATAGATAGAAATAGAAAGCATTAGAGGGGTAGGGTTTTTCACTGGTGACTCCAATTTGGGGAAATTATAAATTACATGGTTCAGAGTCTACCATGTGGAACAACCTATAGAGAGATGCCATTTCTGGTGTTGTCAGATAAGATACAGAAAAGACTGACATCGCATGGGACATACTTAAACGATCACTCTTGTTTATCTGAGTTAAAGGTTTAACTGGACATCCTGTATCTCCTATATTTTATTCACTGAATCTGGCAACTCAAGGCTTTATTGAACACTGACTGCTCTCTGCAGCAAGTCAGGGAGACGAACCCCTGGGGAGTCTTCCAAGGGTGCAGATTCTAGAATCGGACAGCCTGTGTTCAAACTGGGCTTTACACCACAGCTCCATGAGCTTGGGCAAGTTGATGGTTTTTGTTGAGCTTCTGTTCCCTCGTCTCTGAAATGGAGCCAGGAAGAGCACTTTTCCTGAAATTACCCCCAGGGTTCAATGTGTCCAGTAAACACCCGCTGAGCACTTGCTGAGACTCCATTTCTGTGCCCTCATAGTAAGGGGCGAGAGCAGGCCGTGGCAGAGTCAAGTAAGAAAGAACAGAGCAGGTTAAAAGGCTGGGGACGTGCTGCTTCTCTCGGGTTTGTGTGTCTGTGAAGTGACCTCTAGCGGAGACTCAAATGACCTGGGGGAGCCAGCNTCCTGTATCTCCTATATTTTATTCACTGAATCTGGCAACTCAAGGCCTTATTGAACACTGACTGCTCTCTGCAGCAAGTCAGGGAGATGAACCCCTGGGGAGTCTTCCAAGGGTGCAGATTCTAGAATCGGACAGCCTGTGTTCAAACTGGGCTTTACACCACAGCTCCATGAGCTTGGGCAAGTTGATGGTTTTTGTTGAGCTTCTGTTCCCTCGTCTCTGAAATGGAGCCAGGAAGAGAACTTTTCCTGAAATTACCCCCAGGGTTCAATGTGTCCAGTAAACACCCGCTGAGCACTTGCTGAGACTCCGTTTCTGTGCCCTCATAGTAAGGGGCGAGAGCAGGCCGTGGCAGAGTCAAGTAAGAAAGAACAGAGCAGGTTAAAAGGCTGGGGACGTGCTGCTTCTCTCGGGTTTGTGTGTCTGTGAAGTGACCTCTAGCGGAGACTCAAATGACCTGGGGGAGCCAGCGGGTTGTGTCTGAAGGAAGCCATTTCCCGACGGAGAAGGGGCTGCCGCACAGGCCCAGGCTGGCAGTGGGGCTGCCGTAATGTCCAGGGGAGCAGCGAGAGCTCGCTGTGCCTGAGGCCGTGAGAAAGGGTATTGCAGCCGACCAGCGAGGCGGCTGAGGGAGGGGGAGTGGTGTAGGCCTTGGAATCACTGCGGAGACTTGGAATTTGACTCCTGGTGAACTGTGAAAACGCTGGAGTTGTGAGCAAGGGGGTGGTGTCAAGGCTCAGAAGGACCACTTCTCAAACCATTTCCCAGGTGGCTTAGTGGTAAAAAGAAAAAAAATCTCCCTGCCAATGCAGGTGGTATGCATTCAACCCTGGGTTGGGAAGATCCCCTGGAGAAGGAAATGGCAACCCACTCCAGTATTGTTGCCTGAAGAATCCCATGGATGGAGGAGCCTGGTGGGTTACAGTCTATGGGGCCACAGAAGTCAGACACGACTGAGCGACTGGACGTCACACACATACACACACACACACTTACTTGCTATCCTCCTCTACAAGGATTAAATCGTGAGCTGCTGCAGCTGCTGACAACTAGACATCACACACACACACACACATGCACGCACACACTTGCCATCCGCCTGGACGTGGCACACACACACGCACACACACACACTTGCCATCCGCCTCTACAAGGATTAAATCGTGAGCTGCTGCAGCTGCTGATGACTGGACGTCTCACACACACACACACACACACACACACACACACACACAAACTTGCCATCTGCCTGGACGTCACACACGCACACACACACACACTTGCCATCTGCCTCTACAAGGAATAAATCGTGAGCTGCTGCAGCTGCTGACCTTCAACACCTGGAAGGAGTTCAGGGTGGAGAGCAGAAATGAGGCACTCTGTGCTCTGGAAAACTGGCAAAACAGGTCAGATATTTTCAGGAGCTCATCTTAGGAGCCCAATTCGTGCATCTCGTATCTAGAAAAGCACTAAACTCCATCACGGTGGTGTCTAACTCCACGTGACTTTATAACCTTTATGAGACTAGCAGAAACTTTCTGCAGAAAATAAATGCTTCATTGCACGTACTCCCCCTTCACTGAAATCAGATATGCTGGCCTTGCCCCTGCCTCTTAGGAGCAGTTTCTCAGAGCTATCTGAAATGTTGTCTCCCAGACTATAGCCCTCATTTTGTACCCAGTTAAACTTAACTCTCAACTGTCACATTGTGTGTGTGCGTTTTAAGCCTCTGAGAGAGACAATAGTGGTTTGGACCAGGGTGTGAACAATAGAGGTGGTAAACAGTGAGGGGAATCCCTAGGATGTAGGTGTGTAGAGGTCTAAAGACTGAGCCCTGGACCTGCCCAGGGATTCAAGATAGAGAGGGTGTGCAGAGGAGACAGAAAAGGAGTAGCTGGTAAGGCATAAATAGAACCAGGAGAAAGGGATTAAATGGAATTTAAACAAAACAAAATTTGTGCCGAGCACTTAATCAGTTTGTAAGTTTTAGCTCTTGTGTTTGTTGGAACACAGGTTAGGCTATTATTACCATAGGCCCCAAAATAAAGTTAAGACAGAAATTCAATTTTCTCTCGCTTTGAGTATGCTTATGGAGTTCAGGACTCGTGTGGAGCTCAATAGCATCAGGGACCCAGGCCCTTTCCAATCCACTCCTTTTTTTAATTTATTTTTTATTGAAGGATAATTGCTTTACAGAATTGTGTTGGTTTCTGCCAAACATCAACATGAATCAGCCTTAGGTGTACATATGTACCCTCCCTCTTGAACCTCCTTCCCACCTCCCTCCCCATCTAATCCACTCTTGAGAAAAGTCTTATCCACACAGGAAGGAGATAGGATGGGTGTGCCTCTTTCCTTTAATGGGCACTCAAGAGCTGACTCACTGGAAAAGACCCTGATGCTGGGGAAGATTGAGGGCAGAAGGAGAAGCGGGGACAGAGAATGAGGTGGTTGGATGGCATCATCGACTCAATGGACATGAGTTTGAGCAAACTCCGGGAGATAGTGAAGGACAAGGAAACCGAGAGTGCTGCAATCCTTGGGGTCACAAAGAGTACCTGAACAACAACATCACTTCTACTCACATCCTGTTGGCCAGAATCTAGTCACCTAGCACAACAAGCTGCAGGGGACACTGGGAAATGTAGTCTTTTGCTTAGGATCTGGGTACTCGCTGAAATTTTGAATTCTCTGCATGCAGGGAGAACAGACATATGGATGTTGATGAGCCAACTTCCAGTCTGTGTGACAAGCATAATTTCAAAAGTCAGTGCTCTCTGTCTATGCCAACAGTATTCTTAAACTCAAGGGGAATTTCTCAGGCCCCTGATTGTCACTTACTTTTCAGATTGCTTCATCTTTTTCTGTTGTAAAATGTTACACCATAACTTCCAAAAGCAAAACAAATCCCCCAAATCCACTTTTATTTTGAAATCATTATAGATTTATAAGAGGTAGCAAAGGAATGTAGAGGGAAGTCATATGCATTTCCTCTCCAAGACTCCTCCTCCCCAGTGCTAACATCTCAAACATTCAGGCAATGCTAGGCTTCTTCGGTTGGGAAAGGTAGCTAGTCCTGAGTGTCTGCCATCGAGAGACAAATGCTATTGAGCTAGAGATCAGAACAGGAAGCCACACTCCAACATTTCCAACAACCTCCCAGTTGAGTAGTTGACTTCATACACTTCCTTTCTTCCTGTCAAGAAAGTTCTTCCTTGCATGCATTATTTCATCCACAAAGGGTCCCTATAGCCTTACTTAACCCTCTCTTTTCTTATGAACTGGGCTTCCCTGGTGATTCTATGAGGTGGTTGGATGGCATCATCGACTCAATGGACATGAGTTTGAGCAAACTCCGGGAGATAGTGAAGGACAAGGAAACCGAGAGTGCTGCAATCCTTGGGGTCACAAAGAGTACCTGAACAACAACATCACTTCTACTCACATCCTGTTGGCCAGAATCTAGTCACCTAGCACAACAAGCTGCAGGGGACACTGGGAAATGTAGTCTTTTGCTTAGGATCTGGGTACTCGCTGAAATTTTGAATTCTCTGCATGCAGGGAGAACAGACATATGGATGTTGATGAGCCAACTTCCAGTCTGTGTGACAAGCATAATTTCAAAAGTCAGTGCTCTCTGTCTATGCCAACAGTATTCTTAAACTCAAGGGGAATTTCTCAGGCCCCTGATTGTCACTTACTTTTCAGATTGCTTCATCTTTTTCTGTTGTAAAATGTTACACCATAACTTCCAAAAGCAAAACAAATCCCCCAAATCCACTTTTATTTTGAAATCATTATAGATTTATAAGAGGTAGCAAAGGAATGTAGAGGGAAGTCATATGCATTTCCTCTCCAAGACTCCTCCTCCCCAGTGCTAACATCTCAAACATTCAGGCAATGCTAGGCTTCTTCGGTTGGGAAAGGTAGCTAGTCCTGAGTGTCTGCCATCGAGAGACAAATGCTATTGAGCTAGAGATCAGAACAGGAAGCCACACTCCAACATTTCCAACAACCTCCCAGTTGAGTAGTTGACTTCATACATTTCCTTTCTTCCTGTCAAGAAAGTTCTTCCTTGCATGCATTATTTCATCCACAAAGGGTCCCTATAGCCTTACTTAACCCTCTCTTTTCTTATGAACTGGGCTTCCCTGGTGATTCAGATGGTAAAGAATTGCCTGCAATACAGGAGACCCAGGTTCAACGTGTGGGTCAGGAAAATCCCCTGGAGAAGGGAATGGCTACCCACTCCAGGATTCTTGCATGGAGAACTCCATGGACAGAGGAGCTGGCGGGCTACAGTCCATGGGGTCACAAAGAGTCAAACACAACTGAGCAACACTTTCACTTTTTTTTTTCCCATATGAACTGTTGATTTGAGAAAGACTAATTTGGCTTTGAGATTTACTTCAACGCTAAGAAACATGAGAATTTTCTGTTATTTATTTAAGATTGTTAAATGGCTTCAAAATAAACAAAGGATATACAGTAAATGATGGTATAGTCTAAGAGCCCTATCATTTGGCAAGAAATTTCTCCTGGTGTCAGGATTTGTCTCCATTGGTCCTGCAGACATGACACCAAGTACTCCAGCAGATTTCTCAGAAATACCAATATTGTTTTTTTTCCAGAAATTTGGAACTATCCGGGCGGATTTGATTGAGCAGATGAGATTTAAACAGAGACTAAAGGTGATCCAGACGCTGGAAGATACTACAAAACGGAATGTGGTGAGTCTCTTGAGAAATGGCATGTGGCTTTCTTTTTCCACCCTTCCTTGTATCCCCACTGACTCCAATTCCTGCTTGACAGACTGAGCAGATTTGAAAGAAAACGATCAGGCAGTTTCCCATTATGATATTTTTGAGTTTGTGAAAGTCACTGTGTTATTCTTTTTATATAAGGTACGAACCATTGTGACTGAAACGTCCTTTACCATTGATGAACTAGAAGAACTTTATGCTCTTTTCAAGGTGAGTTTCAAAGAAAATTCATGTACACTGAAGGGAGTAAAAGAGTTCACTTTTTTTTTTTTTTTTTTTAATTTTTGACTGTGCTGGGTCTTCATTGCTTTGTGGGCTTTTCTTTAGTTGGTGGGTGGGGCTCCTCTCTGGTTGTGGTATAAGGGCTTTTCTCTGCGCTCGCTTCTCTTATGGGGCCCAAGCTCTAGGGCACTTGGACTTCAGTATTTGCAGCTCCCCGCTCTAGAGCACAGGCCCAATAATTGTGGTCACAGGCTCAGCTTCTCCAAGACATGTGGGATCTTCCCAGACCAGGGACTGAACCCATGTCTCCTGCATTGGCAGGTGAATTCTTTACCACTGAGCCACCAGGGAAGCCCAGGAGTTCACTCTAATAATTCAGTTAGTTTCTAGATTTTTCTGTTAAATTGTGAAGGGATAGCATGAGTGTCAACAAGCTTCAATAGGAAGATGGAGTTGAGTATAAAAATAGAGCACTTAATATGAAAAATAAAGATAATTTATTTAAATTGATGTTTTAGCCTTCTTCCACTTCATGTGGTATTTTCACTGTTTCCTTGGACTTAAGAAAATAAGGTGTTACTTTATAATACTCAATGGAATGATGGCAATCAAGTTTAAATTATTTTTGAAACTTCTGTAAATTTTAATTTCTTATATTAATCTATGTTCAAGCACCCTTAAGAAGAGATATGTAGCTGGAATAAGAATAAAGCTGCTTGAATGTCTAAGGGAAAGCCTAGTTGTTTAAATATCTGTGATTTTTCTAAGTCAACCCATGATCCTCAATAAGGAAATATTGTCATTAAATGAAGCAGTGTAGAATTGTTTTTCTTCTAGGGAAAAAAAACTCACTTTTGTTGTAACTATCATTACCAACATCATAGGTAAAAATGTGACAATTGCCAGGAAAAAGTTTTAAAGGATGCCTTTTACACAGGTACCAATTTTATCACAATCTCTAATTGGCTAGTTTTTTGTATATTATAGAGCTTTTGTTTCCAGAACTAAAGATAATTGAGGATGGCAAAGATAGTATAGGAATGAACAGAAGGGGCAAACATAAAGATCTGAGTTGGACACTAGTAGATCTTACGATCAGACGGAGAATGTGAGAGCTGAGAATATTTTTGCTAATATTCCCATTTACCTGTTAGCTACTGGAGGCTTTTAAAAAAAATACCACCGTTTTATTTATTTCTGTTTCTCTAGTATCTAGTTTCGTGTCCCTGCCCAGTAGGTGTTCCAAACATGTGTGTTGAATACATAGGTGATTCAGTGATCCGTTTTCAAGTGATCCGTTTTCAATGCATGCTTCTGAGGCAGGCACAGAGAGGTTGATGGCTTTGTGCAGTCCCACAGTTTGGGCAACAGCGCCCCCAGCAGGCTGCATTCAGCACTTAACGGTGCAGTCAAGCATGTGCCATCTCATTAGTCTTTTATTCAGATATGTAAAGCACTGTGCCTAATTGCTCCATGTTAAGTTGGTTTTCCATAAGGAGGGAATTCCTCTTCATTTCGTAGAGGGAAACATACAATGATCCAACTTGGATTGAAAGAAAAAAAATACAATGATCCAATTGAGATCAGACTGGAAGAAATCTGCTTTACAGTGTGGGGGTGGGGGACGGGTAGGGCCAGGATGTAGGGTAACTATGCAGAAGTGGGGAGTAGCAGCTAGAGGCAGCAAGACCGTGCACAGGTACCGGGAAGGGCTGTGACATTCCAAAGAGGAGGCTGACTTTGGGGCACACCCGAAGAGGAAGACCAGGGCTGGCTGTGCAGAAGTCCAAGATGCTGAGATCACTGAAGCTGTATCTTCTTCCCTGGGGACCCCTGCCCTCTTCGGTCTGGGCACCTCCAGCACCGTGTCATTTGTACACCAAGGATACTGCCTGAGGAAAGCTCTCCTTACACTCCAAAACCCTGCCGTCAGGTGTGTTGGCAAACAGGAGTTCCCCAAGTCTTCTGAGAGCCCCAAGAGAGAGCCTGACACCCTCGGTTGGTGTCAGGGATGAGAAGGATTCTCGGGTACTCAGTTCGGTTCAACCACTCAGTCGTGTCCAACTTTTTGCAACCCCATGGACTGCAGCATGCCAGGCTTCCTTGTCCTTCACCATCTCCCGAAGTTTGCTCAGCCTCATGCCCATTGAGTCGGTGATGGCAACCCGAGACAAAGACTTCAGATAAGGACTCTTTCTTGAGTTTTTTGAACACTTTTCATTGGCTTCAATTCATCTGCACAAACATTTATTGAGGTATTACCATGTCAGACACACTGCCAGACTCCAGTCTTTTATAAAGTCAATTTCTGGGGGATCTCCTTCAGATACAAAGGAAAGAGACATTTGTTTCCCACAGTTTTCTGCTTGGGCTTTGGGCTAAACTTGATAGAAAAAGGTGAAGACTGACGCCCTGAGGCAGATTTGGTAGAAAATGTGATTCACGGCCCCTGGGCCTTACTTGAACTCTTTGTAAATTAGTCCTTTTTCAGTCTTGGGTCCCTCGTGCCCAAATGATGGAGTAGGGGGTCTCATCAAAGGAGAGGGACATGGTCTGCGTGACTTGCCATTTCCTGGTGGCTGTGAGCACCATGAATGTGCCTGCAGCACACTCAGGTCCAGTTCTAGAGGAACATGGGTGCTTTAGTTAGGAGGCAGTGCTTTGGGTAACCTTTATCCACTGATGGAGCTCCAATAAAAGGGGACCGTTCCTGTGGGGCTGTATCACTAACTCCTTTCCGCCCACGGGGCTGCTGGGCATCACGTCGGAGTACAGCTCCACCCAGGGCACCCCTCGAGCCTCAGCCTCTGCCTCCCTCCCCCAACCTCACCATCATCACCGTGCTCCTCCACTCCGCCCCACCCAATCCCCGCCAGCCGGCAGCACTTGAGTGCAGCCCCCAAGCCTAGTGGACTTGACACACTTCCTTTGTTCTCCCAAAGCTGCCCTGAGACACCTCTCCTTCCTCCTCTCTTGCCTACTCCCACTTCTCTCTTTGTTGGATTAGTAGCTACAATTCCCAGGAAACAATGAGGACAAGCACACTGGTCTTTGCTCTGTTCTAAGTGAGAACAACACTGAAGTACTGCACACTCACCACTGACTCCTCCTTCTCAGAACCCCCAGGCAAGGGGGAACAATCTGGCGTGAGAGTGCTTTTTGCTATTGCAGTATTTATACATGCTTATAATGAAATAGTCAGTACAGCAGGAAATAAAGTAAAAATAAAGTCTCCCTTTGGATGCCTCTCTGTCTCCGCAGCCTACCATTCATTGCTAACTGTAAACCTCTACCTAGGGGGACTGGAGGCTTCTTACTGGCCTTTCTATTAGATGCTTCATCTTTGCGGTCTTCCTAGAATGGGCATGTGTTTCTGCCAGAATCAATATGACCTCCTGAATAAAGAGGCTGCTTTGTTTCCAAGGACAGAAACAGGAAGCCTTTAGCTGGATCTCTGTCCTCCTCCGCCCTAGTGGTTCCTGCTCATAATTTTCCTGGCGCTATTTTCAGATGCACAAAACAGGAGGGACTGCGTGCTTGTAGCCTCAGTGCTGGATGACTAGGATAATCTTTGGGCTTCCCAGGTGGTGCTAATGGTAAAGAACCCGCTTGCTAGTGCAGCAGATGAAAGAGACATGGCTTCGATCCCTGGGTTGGGAAGATTCCCTGGAGGAGGGCATGGCAACTCACTCCAGTATTGTTGCCTGGAGAATTTCATGGACAGAGGAGCCCGGCGAGCTACGGTCCATAGGGTGGCAAAGAGTCTGACATGACTGAAGCGAGTTAGCATGTGTTAGCAGACATGCAGGGTAAAAGTTATGTGATCTTGGTGACTAGGAGGCAGGGGTTTACAGGACACTAAACTAGGAGTTTGGAAACCCAGAATCACATTATGATTCGGCTTTGACTAACTGGTTAGGTGACTTGTGGAAGCCACTTACCCTCTGGGCTGTACCATCCTCACAGAGGACAGGAGGTAATCAGACTGCCTGAATTACAGGCAGTAATTCAGGTTAACTCTTCAGATTAACACTCTATGTATTTCTTGTAAAACAGAGTCTTTGTTTGTCTTTATGGGAATTAGTTCTTAAAATGCTGGTGAGTGTGGGGGTAGCAGGGGGAGAAAATGGTGAAGGGGAGGTTCTTTCTTTCTTCACCTACTCCAGTAATTGAAACGGGTTTTTCATGCCAGATATAAACACGGAGATGGTTGCCATGGATTGGCGGGAGGCGGTCAGGTGGAGATAAATGTAAAAGAGAAGCCAAGGGTGCCCGGCCCCCACTGCCCCAGGACATGCAGACGCGTGACCTAAAGCCTTTTCCCAGATTTGAGGAAGGCCTTTCTTGCTGGTATTTGCTGTGAGATGCAGCCTCCCATATCATCCTGTTCTTCAATTCTTTTGCCTGAGAATTTCATGGACAGAGGAGCCCGGCGAGCTACGGTCCATAGGGTGGCAAAGAGTCTGACATGACTGAAGCGAGTTAGCATGTGTTAGCACACATGCAGGGTAAAAGTTATGTGATCTTGGTGACTAGGAGGCAGGGGTTTACAGGACACTAAACTAGGAGTTTGGAAACCCAGAATCACGTTATGATTTGGCTTTGACTAACTGGTTAGGTGACTTGTGGAAGCCACTTACCCTCTGGGCTGTACCATCCTCACAGAGGACAGGAGGTGATCAGACTGCCTGAATTACAGGCAGTAATTCAGGTTAACTCTTCAGGTTAACACTATGTATTTCTTGTAAAACAGTCTTTGTTTGTCTTTATGGGAATTACTTCTTAAAATGCTTGTGAGTGTGGGGGTGGCAGGGGGAGAAAATGGTGAAGGAGAGGTTCTTTCTTTCTTCACCTACTCCAATAATTGAAACGGGTTTTTCATGCCAGATATAAACACGGAGATGTTTGCCATGGATTGGCGGGAGGCGGTCAGGTGGAGATAAATGTAAAAGAGAAGCCAAGGGTGCCCGGCCCCCACTGCCCCAGGAGATGCAGACGCGTGACCTAAAGCCTTTTCCCAGATTTGAGGAAGCCTTTCTTGCTGGTATTTGCTGTGAGATGCAGCCTCCCATATCATCCTGTTCTTCAATTCTGCAGGCGGAACATCTAACCAGCTGCTACTGGGGCGGGAGCAGCAATGCGCTGGACCGGCATGACCCCAGCCTGCCTTACCTCGAGCAGTATCGCATCGACTTGGAGCAGTTCAAGGGCATGTTTGCTCTGCTCTTTCCCTGGGCCTGCGGGACTCACTCTGACGTGCTGGCCTCCCGCTTATTCCAGTTATTAGATGAGAATGGAGACTCTCTGATCAACTTCCGAGAGTTTGTCTCGGGGCTGAGTAAGGACGTGATTGCCTGAGTTCGGGGATGGGGTGGGGAAATCGGGGGAGATGGGGCAATGAGCGCCACGGTCCTCCTTGCTGCCCTCGGGACCACAGCCCTGCTTTCCTCGGAAGGCAGGGCTCACGGGACAGAGGAGCACATTTTAAGGTTCGCAAGCTGCTTGTAAATCTGTTTGTAGTTAATGAATGTATCATGTGATTAAATCATTACCTTCTACATTAGTTAGTCTCTCAGTTGTGTCCAGCTCTTTGTGACCCCATGGACTATAGCCCTCCAGGTTCCTCTGTCCAAGCCATTTCCCAGGCAAGAATACTGGAGCGGGTCGTCATGCCCTTCTTCAGGGGATCTTCACAATCCAGGGATCAAACCCGGGTCTCCCACATTGCTGATGGATTCTTTACCATCTGAGCCACCAGCCCGCAGATAGTCTTCAACACTAGTTAATATACTTTATCATGCAATTTGCAAGAATACCAACTTAAACCCTAAAATCACAGACCATGATAACTTGATGAGGGAAGAAGAAATGTTTGGATATGGATAGCTTTTCCTTGTCCCAACATATATTTATCCTACATATGATTTATTTCATAAAATTTTATGAAACATTTCATAATTAGATAAAAGGCTAAATAAAATGAACAGCTCTGCAGTCTAGTGGAAGTCTTTTCTCTCCATTTTGTGGGGAGGAAACGTGTCCATTCCTCAGAATGCCCACCCACACCCGACAAGCATCATGGGTTTCTGCCTGTCAGCCTCGCTGTCTGACCTGTTTACTGCCCTATATTCCACTGGGCTTTTTGCATTAATATTTGAGCAAGAAAAGCAATGTGGTGGTCGAGCTTCACCTGACATGAGGTTGTGGATGTAGCAGGCATTATGTCGGGCTGCCAGAATTAAATAGGAAGGAAAAAAATTTTTTAATTCTAACTGTGCCACACTCTGATGTGGTCCATGCACTTGAAAGTGATATGTGCCCAAGGAAACATGAAGGCATCAGGCATAGAGCCAACAATGACTCAAGAAAGCACCCTAAATCATAAAGAATAATGACTCAGAAGGCTTAAAGGCCAGAGGAAACTGATGGATGTTAAAAACACAAAAGGGAGTAGGTGAGGTTGCCTTAGATAAGTAAAAACTATTTGCAGAAAGCACTCAGATACATCATTCAAAAGGGCTACATGGAGGAAACTAGCCTTTATTAAGCGTAGGCACCATTGTGATGCTTTAGAACTGAAACATTATCACTTAATCCAAACAGACCTTTGAGGTGATAATAGTATTGATCCATACTTCCCAGGTGGCTCAGTGGTAAAGAATCTGCCTGCCAGTGCAGGAGACATGGGTTCGATCCCTGGGTTAGGAAGATCCCCTGGAGGAGGGCTTGGCAGCCATGTATTCTTGCCTGGAGAATCCTATGGACAGAGGAGCCTGGCGGGTTACAGTCCACTGGGTCGCAAAGAGTCAGACACGACTGAGCAGGAGGACAGAAGCACACAAGAGTGTTGACAGCTAACATTTATACAGCACTTACTCAGCCAGGCTTTGCTCTCAGACTTTATGTGCATTTCATTTACATAAGGCACACAACTGCAAAGTTGGTGTTTGAACTCAGGCACCCTGGAAGCAGGGTTGTGCAGTTGCTATGATGCTTTATCGTCTGTGTGCTTACTATTAATATCCTCATTTTCAGTTAAAGAGATGGTGGCTCAGAAAAGTTAAGCAATATGCTAGAACATTTGTTTTTAGCAAGTCAAAATATTTCTGCTATTGAACTGACAGGCATGGTTTGTCCATGCTGGGCCCAGGATTCAGACAAAGTCTGTCTCAGAAGCACATCCTTTTTCATTATTCTGTGCTTAAGGACAGCAAACAGTTTTTCTTTCTTTCTTTTTTTAGGGAAGGAGGAGGTATTGTTGTGTTTTTTTCCCCATTTATTTTTATTTGTTGGAGGCTAATTACTTTACAATATTGTAGTGGGTTTTGTCATATATTGACATGAATCAGCCATGGAGTTACATGTATTCCCCATCCCAATCCCCCCTCCCAAGGTATTGATTTTTAATTACACAAATAATGCATAAATACATTCTGCTTTTTTAAAAAGTGAAAAAAGGAACTTGCATGGTAGTCCAGTGGTTGAGACGCCAAGCTTCCATTGCAGGGGGTGCAGGTTCGATCCCCGGGCAGGGAGCTAAGATCCCATGTGCCACGCAGCATGGCCCAAAAAATAAAATTATAAAAGTGATAAAATTTTTTAAAAGTGAGCAAAATAAAATAAAAATGTGAAACAATCTGGACAAGGCTAGAGACTTTTGACTCTCTCCTGATCTTTTCAGTTCCACAGTAACTACTTAGTATCACTGGTATCTATCAAAAGGGAGTTTTTTTTTTAATGACCTATAGACAAAGTAAGAAGACGAAAAAAGAAAGATTCTACATGTAGAAAGGGGTCAAGGAATTTTTGCCGTAAGCATCTTTGCTGCAACCAGTTTTGCTATACAACTAACTGGCCATAAGGCCATTTTAACATGAGAGGTAAAAATACTTAGTTGACAGTCACGACTCTAGAAAAGGATAACAAGTCAGTGTTTGTAAATCCTTTGATGTTGGATGGTATCACTGACTTGATGGACATAAGTTTGAGCAAGCTTCAGGAGCTGGTGATGAACGGAAAAACCTGGAGTGCTGCAGTCCCTGGGGTCAAAGAGTCTGATGTAACTGAGCAACTGAACTGAACTGAACTTGAGCATAGTCATCCCCCTAACTCGTCAAAACTAGAAGTTTACCAAGCTATGGCAGATATAAAAGAAGTGGCTGCTAATTCACAGTGACCTTCAAGAGCACTAATAATTGATTCTTTAGCTAATTCGGGTACGACAGGTTCTCCTCTCAGGCTGTCTTTACCACATTTATAACGTAGTATTAGACATTGATGGCAAAAGGAAAATCAAGCTCCTCCTGCCCCCCGAAAAGAAAATGGTTGTGTGATCCCTGATGGGTATGTAAGTTTCTTGAAAATGGTGAAAATACAGTCTGGCTTGGATTAGCTTGCTGAAGGATTTGCAAAAATTGATATCTGGTTTTCCAGTGTAATGTAACCATCAACTAGTAATTTTTTTTATCTTTTATGGCAAAATGACCTTAGGGTCCATTTGTTGTGGGGTAAATCTGCTTCTGGCAAAGATATTCAGGATGAAAATATCAATGTGTAGAAAGTGACAGGAATCATTATAAATATATAATTTATTTAAGCTTAGTGAAACCCCAGCGAGGCACATACTCTTCAAAATCTTGGGAAAAGGAAAGAGATGCTTGCAGTCCATGATAGTGAAAATCCTGGAGAAGAGTACTTAGGCTTCTTAAAAAGCAGTTGAGTTCTTAGAACAAAGTAAACTCCACCTAAATCGCTGGGAGGAGGCTCAGAGCTGTAGTCAGTCATGCGGGTCGATTACACCTATGGAGATAGACAAGTTGACTAGGAAAGAGAAATTCTGTTCAAGTCTTAAGAAACTAAAGAAAGGATTCTGGAGAAGATGGGTCAGTAATTTCAGTGTCCATCCCTAGAAAGATCCTCCCTGAAATTAGTGAACAGGTAAGTCTCTGTGGAGTTAGAGATAAGAGATTACTATCTGAAGGCACACAGTAGCTGGATCTCCTTTTTCAGCGGTATTGCTGGAAGGCAGCTTTTCTAAACAAGCCACATATGTTCACAAAGCAGCTGGTCATTGGACGCTGGAGAGTTGGAGGAATATGGAAGCTGGTGATTCCGTGACTGAACCCTGCACCCAAAGCATGACCGCCAACGGAGAGTTCTCTATACACTGGGCTTGAGGTTTAACCTCTGTGGCTGTTGCCTCATCTACAAAGTAATGATTGTCGGGACTGAAAGAAGTCATTCAAGTCACATTGCTACAGTAGTGCCTGGCTCAGAAAGTGTTAGTTATTGTTGTCTCTGCAGTGACTAATGAACCCCCTCTGCCTGACTCTGGCAGCGACTTAAACTATCGAGGTAGAGAAGGCACGCTAAATGTGTCAGTTACCCAAAGCTGGAAGAGACAGGCAGCATGTTGGAGAACAAAAACAAGATGGAAAAAAATAATGGTAGAGGAGGGAATGATTGGTAATAACAAATTGATAGGGATAAATTGGAAGTCTGACATTAAAAAAAAACTATTTATTTATTTCTTTGCTTATTTTTGGCTGTGCTGGGTCTTTTGCTGCACTGGGGCCTTCCGTAGTTGTGATAAGCAGGGGCTACTCTCTTGTTTCAGAGCATGGGCTCTAGGACTGTGGGCTCAGTAGTTGTGACTCAGGGACTTAGTTGCTCAGAGGCATGGGGAATCTTCCCTGATCAGGGATCGAACCCCTTTCCCCTGCATTGGCAAGTGGATTCTTAACCAGTGGCCCACCAGGAAAATCTCCAGAAGTCTTAAATTTTAAGAAATGATTGTAAAAGAACTGTATGTCTGCATATACGTACATATAGTGGTTTCAGCTATGCTTTCTAGAGTCAGACAAATCTGAGTTCAAATCCTGGGCCTGCTGTTAATAGCTTATGGCCTTGAACACATTACTTGAGTAAGGCCGGCCTTTTTCATCTGTAAAGTTGGGATAATAGCTATGTCCATCTCATAGAATTCTTGGGAGAAGAAAGTGAGATGCACATGGAAAGACGTGAGCATAGGGTTTGCTGTTGCACAGTTGCTCAGTGCCTGCGGCATGTCAGGCTTTCCTGTCCTTCACAAAGTGAATGGTTCACCAGTGTCTGTCATTATTTTCATGATTAGTGTGAGCTCAGTGTGCAGACATTTTGAGCTTTAGTTGACTTTGTAGTCCAAATCCAGACTGAGGATTTGGACTGAATGCAGTACAAACAGCCGAATGCAGACTTAGGCTGTATTAGAGGAAGAGTCAAGAACAGTTCCACTCTTTTCCACGGTGGACAAGACCCATCTGGAACTGTCTATCCAGAGGCAGACTGATGGATGCATTAACACGTAAGGTAGATGTGAGTAAAAATAAAAAAGAGTATACAAACCATGTCACATGAGAAAGTTGAAAAAAACTTAGAGAGGTGTAGCCTGGGGAATATAAATTTGCCTTGAGAAGATAAGCTGGTGGGAAGCAGGACAGCTGTCCTTAAAATCTGAAGGATTGTTGGCAATGAAGATGGAGTAGACCTATTCTATTTGACTTTCAAGAGTCGGGAAGAGGAATAGTTCTAAATCTTTTGTTGAGTCATAATCTTTGAGATCTGGTAAGGGCTGTGGAAATTTTCTTCCCCCAAAATGATATCGGCATGTGAACACATTTTATGTTGTGTGCAGTTCATGAACTTGATGAACCTGAGTCTGCAGGTTAAGGGTCCTGACTGAAGTAAAAATTACAGGAGCACTTTCAGTGTTTCAAGAATTCCCTAGTGGAATGAGATGCCTCTGGTTGGGATGAGCTCCCCGTCTCTGACTCTGAGGATGTTCAAGCAGGTGCTGGATCCTCTCCTATGTGGATGTGGACATGGGAGGTCAGACAAGATAATCCCTGCTGTCCCTGTCAACAAGTCCAGATCCTGTGATTCCTCTTTTCCCAAATCTGATTCATCTTTAACTCTTCACTCTGAGAACATGTGTTTACAAAGGGTTTTCTGATTCCTGAAATACCTATTGACTTTAAGGGAGAAAGTGGCAAGATTCTTTGGATTGAAACAGTGGTGATGTAATGGGAGATGTGTGCATGCTAAGTTTTTCAGTCATGTCTGACTCTTTGTGACCCTATGGACTATAGCCCACCAGGCTTCTCTGTCCATGGGATTCTACAAGCAAGACTACTGGAGTGGGTTGCCATGCCCTCCTCCAGGAGATTTTCCCAACCCAGGGATTGAATCTGCATCTCCTGTGGTTCCTGCATTGCAGGCCGATTCTTTACCGCTGAGCCACGGGGGAAGCCCTTAATGGCAGCTCAGTTCAGTTCAGTCGCTCAGTCGTGTCCGACTCTTTGCAACCCCATGAATCGCAGCACGCCAGGCCTCCCTGTCCATCACCAGCTCCCGGAGTTTACTCAAACCCATGTCCATCGAGTCGGTGATGCCATCCAGCCATCTCATCCTCTGTCGTCCCCTTCTCCTCCTGCCCCCAATCCCTCCCAGCATCAGGGTCTTTTCCAATGAGTCAACTCTTCGCATGAGGTGGCCAAAGTATTGGAGTTTCAGCTTCAGCATCAGTCCTTCCAATGAACACCCAGGACTGATCTCCTTTAGGATGGACTGGTTGGATCTCCTTGCAGTCCAAGGGACTCTCAAGAGTCTTCTCCAACACCACAGTTCAAAAGCATCAATTCTTCGGCACTCAGCTTTCTTCACAGTCCAACTCTCACATCCATATATGACACTGGAAAAACCATAGCCTTGGCTAATGGCAGCTAGGTTAGGCTAATTTGAACTGAAGAAATATTTAAGAGACCAGAAGCAACTAAAAAGGATTTCTAAAATGAATTGAAGCACTCTCAAACATGTATTGAGGGACTTCCCCAGAGGTTCAGTGGTTAAAACTGATGCTGTCAGTGTAGGGGGTGAGGGTTCAATCGCTGTTCGGGGAGCTAAGACCCCACATGCTGCAGGATATGGCACCAAATAAAATTAAATTTTTTTAAAATAGACTTTAAAAACATGTATCAAGATTATTTCTGAACTCTAGCAATTATTGTGATACTGAGGCCCAGTCACTGAACTTTTCTTACCAGTAGTGTTGTTAATTGCTGTCATGTCCGACTGCGACCCCATGCACTGTAGCCCCCCGGCTCCTCTGTCCATGGAATTTTCCAGGCAAGAATACTGGAATGGGTTTCCATTCCCTTCTCCAGGGGATCTTCTTGACCCAGGGATCAAACCCACATCTCCTGCGTTGGCAGGCAGATTCTTTACCATCTGAGCCACAAGAGAAGCCCTTCTTATCAGTAACACTCATTTAATTTGTGCCAGCTGCTAGCCTCAGAACCTTTCATTCTCCCCTTTCGTGGGTCCTGATGCCAAGACCACTGGTAGAATCTTCTAATTTGTCATCCTGCCTCCTAGAGGGGAAACTGAGATCCAGAGAGGTTCACTGTCCCAAGGGCACATGGTATCCATACAAAGACTTTGAAACCAGACACCCTCATTCCAGAGCTTTTAACACCAATCCCACACAGTATCTGGGTTTCAGCTGTAAAAGGTTGATGCTTCAGGGGGACACTAAGCCTTGGCGTGGGGCAGGGCTGTTGCGAGCACACACAGTACATTTCATGTTGGTACTTGTGTGACTTCTAGGTGCTGCATGCCATGGGGACCTCACTGAGAAGCTCAAACTCCTATACAAAATGCACGTCCTCCCGGGTAAGTGAGCCGCGCAGAGCAGCACGTGTACCTGTGACCCTGGCCTGGCTTCATGTCTTTTTTGGTGTGACCTGTTTGCCTCTTCTTTGATATACAAAAATCACTCATTGATCACTAAGAACAAACTGAACAGTATTATTGACAGGAGTTCCTGAATCAGCAGGTGCTTGGTTCAGTGGTCATTCATTTGTCCAAAGTGTGAGCTGCAGTAATAGAGCAGACTTTTGCAAGAGAACAAGTAAATAGCACTTGGTAACTCCTGGAATCCTGAGTCTAGGGAGAGCAGTCTTACCTCTGACAGAGACAGTGGGAAATATAGGGAGGTTTTTGAGTTCCGGTTTAAACTGGGTTGGCCACCAGTTGGAAATATCTAGCAAATACTAAAAAAGAAAGAAAGGGAGGGAGGGAAACAGAAAGAGGAAGAGAGGGAGAGAGAGAAAGTAGAGAGAGAGGGAAAGAGGGAGGAAGGAAGGGGAATTGGCTCTAAGGATAGAGATAGGATAAAACTGTAGATTTGGGAATAATCTAAAATTTGGTTCCTTGAAGCATCATCCCATAGGATTTAGGAAAGTTTCTGAAAAAGGAAACCGTGAAGGGACCTTTGGTGAGGGGTTGTTATAAAGGCAGATGGAGTTATAAGGTTTCTGAGGCTGCAGGTATTCCAGACCCCTCACTGCTGTGCCTACCCTGTGTCGCTTCTTTAAGAATTAAAGCACACGTTCAGAGCCATGGCCCTGCCGACGTGAGAATTGTCTCTCCTCTCTCTCCAGAGCCATCCTCCGATCAAGATGAGCCAGATTCTGCTTTTGAAGCGACTCAGTACTTCTTTGAAGACATCACCCCAGAATGCACACATGGCAAGTGACTTTTCCTCCTCAGGGCCGCTCTGCTTTTGTCCTACAGAGCCCTCCGTTGTTGGAAACCAAGTTGCCTCTAAAGCTAGGCAGCCAAAGAAGTATATGAATGCAGTTGCCTAAGAGGCTATTTTCTTTTCAGAGTTTTGAACTTGAGTAGCTGCTGGGGTCAGGAAGATATCCTGGGGAAGGGCATGGCCTCCCACTCCAGTGTTCTTGCCTGGAGAATTTCCCCATGGACAGACAAGCCTGGTGGGCTACAATCTATGGGGTCACAAAGAGTCAGATATGACTGAAGCAACTTAGCATGCATGCAACTGCTGGAGAGTGGGTACTTTAGCCCATCAAAAGGACCATATATGCCCAGGACTTCCCTGGTGGTCCAGTGGCTAAGACTTCGTGCTCCCAAGAAGACGTCGTGGGTTCAATCCCTGGTCAGGGAACTAGATCCCATATGCCACAACTAAAGATCCTTCATGCTGTAACTAAGACCCAATTGCAGCCAAATAAACAAATAAAAGAAAAAGCATGACCTGTAGAGCATTAACTTTGCTCCCCTCTCCTTGATAGGGTGAGACATTCATTAAAAATGTCATCCTATTGTTATGCTGCTCTTCAAAATCAAGACTAGCATCTCTATCAGATATGCTACTCTGTAACAGATGTCAGCAAACTTTGGACCAAATCTGGCCCACCACCTCTTTGTATGGCCTATGATAATATAAAATGTATATTAAAAAATTAATATAAACTGTAAATGTCACTGCGAAGAAATAAAGTTTTATTGGAACAGAGCCAGGAACACTGCCAAGCTCATTCAATTATATATTGCCTATGGCTGTTCTCACACTGCAGTGATAGAATCGCCTCAGATATTTGCCATCTGGCCCTTCACAGAGAAAGCTTGCCGACCCCTGCTCTGTGTGGTTGTTAGGTCTGCCCAGACATGATCTGGCTTACTGGGGATACCTCCAGATTAATATGTGAACTTATTCTGTTTTGCCACGTGTGAATCTCAGCAGCATCTTTCCACTTGCTGCTGCCATGCATTATTTACTTCATCATTATGGCAGCTTCCTGACTTCACCTGTTCGAAAGTCAGCGTGAGCTGTTCCTGGGTCCTTTTGCCTCTTAAATCTTCCAGCCCCTAAGGAAGCACAGCTCAGACCTGCTTTTGAACTGTGAGCACCTGAGTGATTGAGTGGAGAGGAGTGGGAGGCAGACGCAGTCTTCTTATTGACACACGTGTTACGGGCAGGAGCTCTGGTCAGGATGCTAGCTCTGTCTAGATGACCTCCAGCAGCTTCGTGTATCTGGGAGCCTCAGGGTCCTTGTGGGAACGTGGGAGGTGAGAGCTGTCACCTTGGGCACAGTAAGGATTTAGTGAGCTTTTGTGGTAAACCTTTCAGCATAGTGCTTTATCCAACAGCACTCTTCACATTGCTAGCAGTCAACCCCACCTAGAGGTGTTTCTGTTTTCTCTTACCCATGCTAGTAAATCTGCGGGTTTATCATGTAACATTCTCCTTTTTTTCTTTCTAACTCTCTTGGCAGTGGTTGGATTGGACAGCAGAAGCAAACCCAGTGCAGATGATGGCTTTGTTACCGTGAGTTTAAAGCCGGACAGAGGTACAGACTTCCTCTCCTCTGTGTTTCCTTTACTGCTGGCTCAACAGTTGCTTCTTGACCTTTGAACACTAATTTCTTGGCATTTGGATTTTAGGGAAGAGGGCGAATTCTCAAGAAAATCGTAATTATCTGAGACTCTGGACTCCAGAAAATAAATCCAAAGCAAAGAATGCAAAGGATTTACCAAAACTGAATCAGGTGAGTGCTAAACAGCACGATTCATTCGTTTTAAACCTTGAGGCTCTGTTTTCAGTCATAGATAAATGTAGAGTAAGTACCCCTCAAGGATAGTGGTAACTCAGAGCACTTATTTAGTACCTGTTCAGATGTATTTTGTGCATGCTTTTGTGCATTTACAGTATGCTCTGTTATGAGGAAATGACCGCCTCAGAAAATGGGAACCACAAAATACTGTGGTGTTTTGAGATTACATGCATTCTCAGCCCAGTCATTAAAAATACCCTGAGAGAAAAGGGAGCCCTCCTGCACTGCTGGCGAGAATGTAAATTGGTACAGCCACTAGGGAGAACAGTATGGAGGTTCCTGAAAAAAATTAAAACTAGAACTACCATAAGACCCTGCAATCCCACTCCTGGGCATATATCCAGAGAAAAACATCATCCATAAGGATATATGCACCACGCCAGTGTTCATGCAGCAGTGTTTACAGTAGCCAAGACATGGAAGCCACCTCAGTGTGCATCAACATAGGAATGGGTAATGAACATGTAATACCTATATACAGTGGAATATTGCCCAGCCATTAAAAAGAATGAAATAAGGCCATTTGCAGCCACATGGATGGACCTGGAGACTGTCATACTGAGTGAAGTAAGTCGGACAGAGAAGGAGAAGTATCATATGACATGCCTTATATGTGGTGTCTAAAAAGAAACGACACCGATGTACTTACTTACAGAACAGAAAGAGACTCACAGACTGAGAAAACAAACTTACAGTCACCGGGATGGTGGGGGCAGGAGGAGGGTGGGATAGTTAGGGAGTTGGGGATGGTCTTGTACACACTGCTACATTTAAAATTGATCATCGACAAGGACCTACTATATAGCACATGGAACTCTGCTTAATGTGCTGTGGCAGCCTGGGTGGGAGGGAAGTGTAGGGGAGAATGGATACATATACATGTATGGCTGAGTCCCTTTGCTGTTCCCCTGAAACTGTCACAACATTGTTAATCAGCTGTACCCTAATACCAAAAAAAAGTTAAAAAAAAAAAAAAAACCCTCAGAGGGACTTCCCAGACAGTCCAGTGGTTAAGCACCCCAGCAGTGCTTCCTATGCAGGGGACACAGATCCAATCTCTGATAGGGGAACTAAGACCCATAAGCCTCGTAGTATGCCAAAAAACATTTTAAAATACCATCAGATATTCAAAAGACAAGCTGATGCCGTTCTCAAACCACTGTACCCAGCTATAAATAGGTGTCTGACCTTTCCCCCTTTAACAGCTGAAATATAATGAGTAAGATAAAACAATGTAAATAATTTAAAATACAGGATGAAAATGCTGTTTATTAACAGAACAGATAAATTATCTGGGTGGAGGTAGAAAACATGACTTCTCGCCAGGGACACCAGCAGATGTGTCAAGGGAGAGAGGGTTTGAGCTAAACTTGGAAAACTTGGGCCATATGCTGAAGTGTATAGGCATGAAATAAGATGAGGTCTACAATTAACTTAAAAGTCTGCAAGAAAGGATAAAAGAGTTAACATTTGTATAATAGAGGAACCACTAATAAAGAGACCTGTAGTTGTGACCAAGAGGAAATCTATTTGCATCTCCCTCTGCAGGTTCAAATCTTGCTTGACTACAGTCATAAAGCTAGTGGTAAAGAGCCCACACGCCAATGCAGGAGACATAGGAGATGCCAATCAACCCCTGGGTCAGGAAGATCTCCTGGAGGAGGAAATGGCAACCCACTCCAGTGTTCTTGACTGGAGAATCCCATGGACAGAGGAGCCTGGTGGGCTACAGTCCATAGGGTTGCAAAGAGTCAGACATGACAGAAGCGACTTAGCACACACTCAATAAAGAGACTAAATCCACCGTCCATCTCTTTAAACCTGCACATCCATCCACCCTACAATAGGACTTCTCTGGGATCTTTCAGGAGCCCTGATATTAAGTGGCCTTTCAGTCCACCTGGGTCCTGGCTCTGTACTCCCTATGAGGTGGTCATGGTCTTGTGTTTTCCTCCGTCACTTTTCAGGGGCAGTTTATCGAGCTGTGTAAGACGATGTACAACTTGTTCAGCGAGGACCCCAACGAGCAGGAGCTGTACCACGCCACGGCCGCGGTGACCAGCCTCCTGCTGGAGATTGGGGAAGTGGGCAAGCTCTTCGCCCCGCAGCCTGCCAAGGAGGGCGGGGGCGGGGGCAGCGGGCCGGCCGGCCACCAGGGCCTCCCCGGAAGCGTGCTCTTCCCCAAGAAAGGGCCGAGCCCACCTTACGCGCCCGAAGCCGTGGAGCCCCTGCCGGCCAGCTTGGCCGGGGCCGGCGAGGAGCACTCCCTGGGCGGACAGATGGAGGACATCAAGCTGGAGGACTCCTCGCCCCGGGACCACGGGGCCTGCTCCTCCATGCTCATCTCGGACGACGACACCAAGGACGACAGCTCCATGTCCTCTTACTCGGTGCTGAGCGCCGGCTCCCACGAGGAGGACAAGCTCCACTGCGAGGACATCGGCGAGGACACGGTCCTGGTGCGCAGCGGCCAAGGCACAGCGGCGCTGCCCCGAAGCACCAGCCTGGACCGGGACTGGGCCATCACCTTCGAACAGTTCCTGGCCTCTCTCCTGACCGAGCCGGCCCTGGTGAAGTACTTTGACAAGCCCGTGTGCATGATGGCCAGGATCACCAGTGCAAAAAACATCCGGATGATGGGCAAGCCCCTCACCTCCGTCAGTGACTATGAGATCTCGGCCTTGTCCGGCTGAATCCGGCGCCTTCTCTGGGGACCGGGAAGGTGGGGGGTGGGGGGCGGGGTCTTTTTTATGTTCTGTGTTGGGGCTTCAGTCTTCCTTTTAAATTAAATATTTATTAGTACCCGGCTTGAAGCCTAGTGTTTTCATAATATAATACAATGAAAAGCTGTTGGAGAAATACTTAAACACCTCCATGTAGGTACAGTACCACTTTCTTGTTGGGGGTAGGGGGATTTACCAGAATGCAGTGAATTCCAAAAAAAAAGATGACTCTGTCTGTGATATGTATGTATTTATAACTTCTTAATCTTGCTGTTGAGCTGTATACATAGTGCTGTTTAAATGCTAAATAAGGCAGCAGCCGTTGTGTATTTGGGCTTTTTAAATAAAACTAAGAACCGTAAGGAAAGTGAGATGCCATAGAGAGAATGTTCTTAAATGGAATAGGCATTGTCAGCTGGGGTAAATTCTATACCCTTTAAGGGAGCATTAAAGCTATTTTTTAAGATTTGAAATATATTTCATAAAAGTCCTCTATTCAAAAAGCATATTCTGCAGGCATTCTCAATTGAGGTTCTAAGCAGTTAGGAAAGTATAAGTGATTTTTATGTGATGCCAGAATAACACCTCTATTTGATCAATTTGGGCAAATACGGGACCAAATTGCATTGAAAAACTGATGATTTAAGTCAGCTGGCCGGAATTCAGGGGGAAATGAACAGTCTTTTGTGACAGAGAATCTGAAAGTGGCAACAGAAATGATAAAGAGGACCCAGAATTTGGGGGGTGGGGTGGGGGTGGGGGAAGAGTAAAAGTACTGATGCTTCTTATACTGAATTTTCAGCTTCTTGTTACTCATTGCAAATAAAGCAAAAAATAAAACAATAAACTTTACCATTTCCGTGCTCTCCATAGGTTCAAGAAATCATACCGTGTATCACATATGACCATCTTTCCAGTTAAATCAATGTAGAGATAATGTAAAATGAAAAAAAATCTGCAAGATCACGTAACTGAATGTGTAAAGCGGAACTTGACACTTTATATAAGAGAATAGTATGCTCTATTTACTGAATGGACTTGGAAATGAAACTCGCACCTGCACTTTGTATTTTCGCTTCTTTTTTATTACTGTTACAGTTTTGTCTTTTACAGATGTTGGAGTTCTTTTCTTCTTATTGTTGAATTCATAATCATGATCACATTTTCTTTGCATATTCAGAATATTCCTTCCAATACATTCCTTTATTTTAGAATCCGTTGTGTCTTTATTTTTAGCTGTTGCTGCTGTTTTTAATTTTGTTTACAGAATGATTTTTTTAAACTGTCCAGTGATGTAGTGTTAACCTCAAATAGGATAAATGTGAACAAATAAAATACATGGATACTCAAATGTGGCTTTTATCTCTGTACTTCCGTTCCTGTCTATGGTGATAGCATTATTCTTTTGAAAACTTTGCAGGGGAAATTATGTTAGACAACCATTTTGGCTAAGGAAACAAATTTTTATAGGCAATATTTTGAGATAAGAAATACAGTTTGGGGAATTCCCTGGTAGTCCAGTGGTTGAGACTTGGTTCTCACTGTGGGGGCACAGGTTCAATACCTGGTATGGGAACTAAGATCCTGCAAGATGCACAGCATGACCAAGAAAAGAAAGAAAAGAAATATACTGTGTAATGGTGTGCACATGAATGTAAAATAAGGAAGAGAATCACTATTGGTCATTTAATTTTCTAACTCATCCTACATAAGTGATGAAAGGGTGAAAAATCCCTCTGTAACACCATTTGGTATGTATTTCATTGAGTAGTCACTTGATTTGACTCTTAGGTTTTTATACATTATTCTATCATTGTTCCTATCACCTAAAGATACCTCGGGAAATAAGTTTGTAAAGTCTGGATACTCTTATCTCCAAAAATCAAAGGTGGGTATCAGAGGCAAATGATCATGTGTTTAAATGTGTAGCCCTCAATAAGTGAGTTTAATAGAGTTTTGCCAAGAGAATGTGCTGGTCATAGCGAACACCCTGTTCCCACAACGCAACAGAAGACTCTACACATGGACATCACCAGATGGTCAATACCGAAATCATATTGATTATATTCTTTGCAGCCAAAGATGGAGAAGTTCTATACAGTCAGCAAAAACAAGACTGGGAGCTGACTGTGGCATAGACCATGAACTCCTTATTGCCGAATTCAGACTTCAGTTGAAGAAAATAGGGAAAACCACTAGACCATTCAGGTATGACCTAAATCAAATCCCTTACAATTATTCAGTGGAAATGACAAATAGATTCAAGGGATTAGATCTGATAGACAGAATGCCTGAAGAGCTATGGACAGAGGTTTGTGACATTGTACAGGAGACAGGGATGAAGACCATCCCAAGGAAAAGAAATGCAAAATGGTTGTCTGAGGAGGCCTTACAAATAGCTGTAAATAGAAGAGAAGTGAAAGGCAAAGGAGAAAAGGAAAGATATACCCATTTGAATGCAGAGTTCCAAAGAATAGCAAGGAGAGATAAGAAAGCCTTCCTCAGTGATCAGTGTAAAGAAATAGAGGAAAACAACAGAATGGGAAAGTCTAGGGATCTCTTCAAGAAAATTAGAGATACCAAGGGAACATTTCATGCAAAGATGAGCACAATAATGGACAGAAATGTTATGGAACTAAGAGTACAGAAGATATTAAGAGGTGGCAAGAATACACAGAAGAACTGTACAAAAAAGATCTTCATGACCCAGGTAACCACGATGGTGTGATCACCAACCTAGAGCCAGATATCCTGGAATGTGAAGTCAAGCAGGCCTTAGGAAGCATCACTACTAACAAAGGTAGTGGAGGTGATGGAATTCCAGTTGAGCTATTTCAAATCCTAAAAGATGATGCTGCGTAAGTGCTGCCCTCAATATNAATGGAAACAGTGACAGACTTTATTTTGGGGGGCTCCAAAATCACTGCAGGTGGTGACTGAAGCCATGAAATTAAAAGACGCTTGCTCCTTGGAAGAAAAGTTATGACCAACCTAGACAGCATATTAAAAAGCAGAGACGTTACTTTGCCAACAAAGGTCCGTCTAGTAAAAGCTATGGTTTTTCCAGTAGTCATGTATGGGTGTGAGAGTTGGACTATAAAGAAAGCTGAGCACCAAAGAATTGATGCTTTTGAACTGTGGTGTTGGAGAAGACTCTTGAGGGTCCCTTGGACTTCAAGGAGATCCAACTAGTCCATCCTAAAGAAAATCAGTCCTGAATATTCATTGGAAGGACTGATGTTGAAGCTGAAACTCCAATACTTTGGCCACCTAATCTGAAGAATTGACTCATTGGAAAAGACCCTGATACTGGGAAAGATTGAGGGCAGGAGGAGAAGGGGACGACAGAGGATGAGATGGCTGGATGGCCTCACTGACTCAATGGACATGAGTTTGAGTAAACTCTGGGAGTTGGTGATGGACAAGGAGGCCTGGCGTGCTGCAGTCCATGGGGTTGTAAAAATTCGGACACGACTGAGCAAGTGAACTGAACTAAGTGAAAGGAGCCAGAATTTTCCATTATCATTAAGAACAGAATTATAAATGAACAGTGCATCACCCTGAAACATGTTTCTCTTGATGCTCTTTTGTAATACTGTCCTTATTTGTTCAAGTACCTCACAATGGTTTTATTCCAGTGTCAATATACTATACAATGGCAGTTTCTAGTCTGTTTGCTTCTAAAGGCTGCATGTGGAGGAGCCCTGAGCCTTTAAGTTGGTTATTGCCAGTTCAATTTATGAGCCCCTCTTGTTAGCGTCTTCCTTCTCTGGCCTCCAGAAAGCAAACAGGGTGTTTCAAACAGCATTACACTTCATCTCAAGTTTCTAATGGTTGTATTATGTCTTTTTAGTATTTCTATGGATTATTCTCTTTGATTTCAGTGTATTATGAGTGACCATCTTCTTTAAAGGTCACTTGCCCTGTTATGCTAATAACTTCTACAGCATCCCCAATGATGGGCTCAGTGTCTCTATGGTAATAGACTTAATCTGGCATCCCAGTAGGCTTCCAGCTCCAGAGCACTGGGCACCGGCCTTAGTGAAGCTTTCAGATTCATGTGTGTGTGCTAAGTCGCTACAGTTGTGTCCAAGTCTTTGCGACCCTATGGACTATAGCCCACCAGGCTCCTCTGTCCATGGGATTCTCCAGGCAAGAACACTGGAGTGGGTTGCCATTTCCTCCTCCAGGGGATCTTCCCAACCCAGGAATCGAACCTCATGTCTCTTGCCTCTCCTGCATTGGCGTGTGGGTTCTTTACCACTAGCGCCACCTGGGAAGCCCAGAGCTTTCATATATGAAAAGTCAAAAGAGAAATTTACTGTTGGGGGAAAGGGACAGAGACAATTTGGAGCCTGAATGCTGGGGAAATGAGCGCCCCCAGAGAAACCACAGATCTAGCCACATCCTCCCATCCTGTATACTTCAAGATTGGGTAGGAGGTGGGTAAGCTGTGTGCACACACCACCATGTGAGCCACAGACAACGAGAAGGTTCACTGCCAACAGCATCTTCATCCCCAGCAAAGGATGCAGACCAGGAACTCCGGCGGCCACGCAGAGGGCAGCTCCGAGTATGTTCCTGTCCTAGTCAGTAGCGAGGGTGGCTAGACTTCTCCCTTCCCTATTCCCAGACATGGAGCACCTTCTCAGTCCTGGTAGAGTGGCCTTGGCCTGGTCTCCAACAGAAGCTTTGTCAAGGGGACTTCAGATCAGAGCTCACTCAGTTCAAGAATCTAACAGTGCAACTCCGGGGGAGTCCTGGCCCCTGCCTCATTCCATACCTCCTCTGTGTGTTCTTCATGACCCGTCCTGTAAGACGGCTCTTTTGTTACAGCATCAACTTCTAACCTGGGAAGAATAGCAATTGAAGTGGTGAGTACAAAGCATCTCATAGTATTTTCTGCTTTAAAATGACTCTTTTACCTAATGTTTCAGGCCCCGTATCTTTTGTTTAACATATTCTTGACAGTCCAATTCTTTAAAAAAAAAAAAAAAAGCTTACACAGCCAGACAAAGGAATTTATAAGGAGACACAAAGTGAGGAGAAGAGTTGGGGCCTGGGAAGCGCTACCTGTGAGCTTAGGACTGGCTGCCTGGACACGTTTGGGTCTGCCCAGTGTCTCCGGGAGCAGACGGCTGAGGGCCAAGCTGTAGACTCTGGGCTTCCTGGATTCACAACTACTTCCCCTCCTCACCTTCACAGGGAGACCAAGATCTGTAAACAAAAATCCTGTAGCTGTTCTTAGAACTCCTCAAGGGCAAAGTATTGCCTAGACTAATACCAGGACCAGCTTGGCAATAATCTATTGTTTAGTGAATTCACTTGTTTTATGACTGAATACCACCTACCGTATATCAGATTCTGTCATACTTCAAAAACTAGACTACTTTCTCTCCATAGCCTTTCCCCCTTTGTTATTTCTTAGTTTAATAGGTAATACCAATATCCATCCAGTACCTGAAGCCAGAAACATGAGTCGTCTTTGATTCCTCCTACCTGCCTATGACACACCTCCAGTTACTGAAGCCAGTCCATTGTTTCTTTCTGAGCACCTTTTAATCTCTGTTCCTGTATCTATTCTCAGTTATACTGTCTTAGTTCAGCTTTGTATTTGTCTGAATGTCCAAGAGGGTTATATTAGACTCTTATATTAATATTTGATCTATCCTCCTCACTGCAGTGCGGGAGACCCAGGTTCCATCTGTGGGTTGGTAAGATCCCCTGGAGAAGGGAATGGCTACCCACTCCAGTATCCTTGGCTGGAGAATTCCATGGGCAGAGGAACCTGGTGGGCTACAGTCCATGGGTTTGCAAAGAGTTGGACATGACTGAGCATGTCTTGCATTGATTGGCAGGTGGATTCTTTACCACTAGCACCACCTGGGAAGCCCTGGTGGAAGATTATCTGTGGGTGTATAGTCCCTGACTCTGGCAGCTCCAAGGTGACCCTCCTTAATTGGGGTCTATTTCCCCAATGACTTAGCAGTAGAGAATCCACCTGCAATGCAGGAGGCACAAGAGACACAAATTTAATCCCTGGGTTGGGAAGATCCCCTGGAGAAGGAAATGGCAACCCACTCCAGTGTTCTTGCCTGGAAAATTCAATGGACAGAGGAGCCTGGCAGGGCTAAAGTCCATGGGGTCACAAAGAGTCGGACATGACTGAGCATGCTTGCATATATTCTTTTACCAGTCGGAAGGCAGCCATTCAGAATAGACCTCTTTGGCTATCAGTTAGTCTGAGTGGGATAAAGATTTGATTACAGTACAGATTGCTGGATTGTAACCACTCTGTCTGCCCTTCACACCCTCCAGTTACTCTTCTAAGCTGACGCTTACACAGTCTTT